ATAATAATATAATAATAATACATTTAATTCAATAATATAATCAAACCAAGAACACTGAAATTTGAAATACAGAGGCAAATTCGCACATCACTGAGCAAAGTCGCAAAATCATTTTCAGTGTCTGATGACGAATTTCCCCCACGAATCATTATCACTCAATTATGCAAGTGGTTCTGATTTACTATCGCTGTTCTCTAGCTGGTCTAAAACCGCTTTTGACATAAAGGGACGCTTTTTGGAGGCCATGGACGTTTCTAAGTTTCCAGGCAGAAAGAACATTCAAAATGCAGGCAGGGCGCAGGACAAAGCAGTAGGGACAAAATATATGTGAAATGGTTTGAAATAGCAATGACAGCAAAAATGACATTTTTTTAAAAATTCAAATTTCCCGCCGGTTCCGGCGCCCGTACGTCCCGTCATCACAGGGACCGGAACACAGAAGCCAGATGCCGGCATCGGCGGGAGGAGATGGCCGGGGACGCTGCAGGGGACGCATCGCGGGAGCGAAGGACAAGGTAAGTGCTGCAGGGACCCCCAGAGCAGCGCCGCATGGTAAGCCCGAGTGTAGCTGGGCACAGGTGGGTGATCTGCTGGGCACAGGTGGGCGGAGCTAGTGGGCGCAGGTGGGTGGAGCTAGTGGGCGCACTGCTGGGTACAGGTGGGCGGAACTTGCGGGTGGCACTGCTGGGCACCGATCATCAGGGCACTGATCATCAGTGCCTTGATGATCGGTGCCGATCCCCGCTCTGACAACTGCCGGTTCTCTGCAGTACTTTCCTCACGATCTGACAGCGTGAGGAAAGTGCAGCCGAGAACCGGCACTTGCATTTCCCTCTGATCAGCGTGTCATTGGACACCGCTGATCAGGTGGTAAAAGGCCGCTGTGATTGGCCTTTTACCACATCACGTGATCAGCTGTGTCCGTAGGACACAGCGATCACAGAGATCGCCGGGTGCGCGCCCCCTGGGGCGCGCAGGAGAGCGCGTTCTGGGAGGCCGTCATATGACGTCCACCCAGAACTGGCCGGCCGCAGTGCAGCCGTCATTCGGCTATCTGCGGTCGGCAACAAGTTAAGCATGGGATCTGTTCATGGATCCCCCCAGACCCAAGGCTAGCCCGTCCAAATTAACTAACATGACTGGAGGAATCTGCACAACTGGATATTGTGTTCTGCTAGCTATAGCAGCTGTGGCTGTCTGAGTACCAATCTGATAGGATGTAGTCCATGTATGACCGAGTTCTCCATCCAACTTCTTCAGTTTTTTTTTTATCAACTTTTGTGGAGCCAGGTGGTGCTGACAGGGCCTCCCATGACTCGAATTTCAGCTGATTCAGTAGGACTCATCTGAGATCTGATTGCTGTGTGCTTGGCCTTAGGGCTTGTTTACACCACACAGCATTATGGTAACACAGTGCGGTTGATTTACTGCAACTAGAGAGTGCAAAATCTGGTGCAGCTCAGCTCAGTTCTCCACAGACATTCTAAAGCAGCAATGGGCAAACTACGGCCCGGCGGACCTTTTAATCCGGCCCGCGGAGCTAGGCTCCCGCAAGGCCAGTGGTCGGCAAGCCGCGGCTCTTTACAATAGATGCGGCTCTCCTGTGTGCCGGGCGCCCGCTCCCCTCCCTCCTCTCGGGCGGGCGGGCGACCTCCTCTCCTCCTCTCCCCTCCCCTCCTCTCGGATGGCCGCCCCCCCTCTAGGATGGCCGCCCCCTCCCTCCTCTCGGGCGTCAGGACTCTGCAGCTGTCAGGATGTAGGCGGGGCAGCCAGGATATAGGCGGGGCAGCGTGACGAACTCTTCTCTCACAGTCCTCCCTGAAGACCAGAACGGCGCGGGAATACGAGAGGAACGCGCGGAGGAGCAAAGGTAAGTGAATTGACACAGGGGGGACTTACTATATGGGGGACTTACTATATGGGGAATGAATTACTATATGGGGGACTTACTATATGGGGAATGAATTACTATATGGGGGACTTACTATATGGGGAATGAATTACTATATGGAGGACTTACTATATGGGGAATGAATTACTATAGGGGGGACTTACTATATGGGGAATGAATTACTATATGGGGGACTTACTATATGGGGGATGAATTACTATATGGGGGTCTTACTATATGGGGAATGAATTACTATATGGGGGACTTACTATATGGGGAATGAATTACTATATGGAGGACTTACTATATGGGGGACTTACTATATGGGGAATGAATTACTATATGGGGGACTTACTATATGGGGAATGAATTACTATATGGGGGACTTACTATATGGGGAATGAATTACTATATGGGGGACTTACTTTATGGGGAATGAATTACTATATGGGGGACTTACTTTATGGGGAATGAATTACTATATGGGGGACTTACTATATGGGGAATGAATTACTATATGGGGGACTTACTTTATGGGGAATGAATTACTATATGGGGGACTTACTATATGGGGAATGAATTACTATATGGGGGACTTACTATATGGGGAATGAATTACTATATGGGGGACTTACTATATGGGGAATGAATTACTATATGGGGGACTTACTATATGGGGGATGAATTACTATATGGGGGATGAATTAATATGGGGGATGAATTACTATGTGGGGGATGAATTACTATGTGGGGGATGAATTACTATGGGGGATGAATTACTATATGGGGGATGAATTACTATGTGGGGGATGAATTACTATGGGGGATGAATTACTATATGGGGGATGAATTACTATATGGGGGATGAATTGCTATATGGGGGACGAATTGCTATATGGGGGACGAATTGCTATATGGGGGATGAATTACTATGGGGGATGAATTACTATATGGGGGATTAATTACTATGCTTACTATGGGGGAATATTACTATACTTACTATGGATGACACATACACATCATTCATCTACTCTTGGTCCGGCCCCCGGGTCCAATATATGAACCCATTGCGGCCCTCAAGTCAAAAAGTTTGCCCACCCCTGTTCTAAAGTGTTCTTTGTACCACCAATAGTAAGGAGAAGTATTTCTCATACTTTAAAAAAAAATTGATTTAACCACTTCCTGTCTGCCCCATGTACATAAAAGGCTGGGCAGGAGCGGGTTGCCGTTCATAAACGGCACCTGCATTTTCAGCCTGTGCACGCTCCTTGGGACACTGATTACTGTGTGTGATTGGCCAATCAGTGATCACATGAATAGTAGTAAACAAGCTGTCACTTCTGAGGTAATTACTTACTATGTGTGAAATCTGTGAATGATCACAGAGATCACATGGTACAAGGCTATTCACAACAGCCTTGTACCATGTGACAAGCTATGACCAATCACAGCTCTCACAGTATTTCTCAATGGCTGCAAGAATGCAGCCAGAGAGAAGGAGAAATGATTGCTTTTACACCCATAAAGACTGTAAAAGCAATCAGTGTAAAAAAAAAAAATATCTTCACCCTCCACAAGTAGTACAGTATCACTATAGTGACACTATGTTAAAATAAAATAAAAAATATTTACCCCCCATAAGTAGTACAGTGTCATTAAGGTGACACTATGTTAAAATAAAATAAAAAACAATAATATAAAAAAAAAAATTTAATTTTTTTTTGAAAAATTATAATTTTTGGTTATAAACTAATTTGGGTTATTTTGTTTTACTAAAAAGATAGCTGAATACATTTTGGCCAAGATTTATGAAGAAAGATTATTTATTTGCAAAATGTTATAAGAAAAACACTTTTTCCCAAATTTTTGGACTTTTTCATTTATATAGCAAAAAAAATAAAAATCCCAGTGGTGAAAAATACCACCAAAATAAAGTTTTATCTGTCTAAAAAAATGCTAAAAAATTCATATGGGTACAGTGTGGCATGACTGTGCAATTGTCATTCAGAGTGTCACAGCTCTGAAAATTGGCCTGGACAGGAAGGGGGTGAAAGTGTCCGGACTTGAAGTGGTTAATGTGTATAGGGGTACTGCAGTGCTGGAACCAGATCTTATATTGGCCTCTTTTTAAGCCTAAAATTCAGGGCCATTGAGAAGACGAAGATAATGGAAACTACACTTTGTGTTTTTGGACTCCTGACTTCACACCTGTACAGCCTTGTGCAACATCTTATTGTAAAATTATGGGCATTAAATATGGAGCTGGCCTTTCTTTTAACAGCCTCCACCCTTATAAGAAGGCTTTCCACAAGATGATGGAGCGTTTAAAGGAATCTGTGCCCAATCAGCCAAAAGAGCATTTGTCAGGATGTGTTTTGATGTTGGATGGAAAAGACCTGGCTTGGAATCAGCATTTTATTCATCCCCAAAGGTGTTCAGTAGGGTTGAGGTTAGGGTTCTGTGCAGGCTACTCAAGTTCCTCCACATCAAACCATGTCTTTTACGGAGCTGGCTTTGTACGCAGGAGCACAGAAAAGGGCCCCCAACTTTTATCACCAGGTTGGAAGCACGTGGTTGTCTAAAATGTCTTTGTATGCTGTAGCTGTAACACTGCCCTTCACTGGAAACATGAGACCTCAATAATGTGGAGGGATGGTCAGATGTCCACAGGCCTTGGGTTATATAGTATATAATGATTTATATTGTGAGAAGGCCATGTGCCAAAGGTGATGTCAGAGTGACTTAACAGCTTGTTAAAGGTGATTTATTAGGTCGTGAAGCCAGGATCAGGATGACAAGCTCCGGAGCCTGTGCCATTAAAAACAAGTCAACATTTCCCATAATCCTATGTCACAGTTTGCCTTTCATAGGAAGCTGATTTTGCATTCAACTCAATACTTTTTTACTGATCACTGTCCTCAGCTGCTGTAAAGTGAAAATACATCTTACAATTTCTTGCTCCAACTTGGAAGTTCAGAACTTTAGTGCACCTCTCACCCTGTAGAAAACACCACCTACTGCAAACAGTGTTTTTATTTTTTTTTTATACATCCAACAATAATCATTTTAGTTTTTGTTTTTTCAAGCATCAGCTTTTCACAGCTTTTTCTTCAGTTTCTTTCCTAACACCAAGTCCTATGAGGATGGTGTTCTCAAAGGCCAAATACGTAGCATACTCGTTGCTGATCACCTCCTCGAGTTGTTCCTTCGTCTTGACTGGTTGAGCAGTTTCCTTCAAATCAAAACAAGCCGAGTTATTCAGATTACAGTAAACACATTACTGATGATTGGTGTAAAGAAAACAAATTGAAGCATGCATTGAAATGATCATCTGGACAGACTGCACAAAGTAGGATTTGAGTAATAATTGTTATGTGGAACACGTCACTGATCCATGTTATGGTTTCAACAACACTGCTGCAAAAGGGTTTAATCTTTAGGAGTGAAGACTTTGTACAAGACAGCTAAGAATTGTTCATTCTGTCCGAAAACAGAAACAGAAAAGCCACATTCTCAGCACAGTGTACCGACATAAAATGGCCAACCGCTCCAGGTTAAAGAAAACAGTCGCAGAGCCTGGAACTGGCCATTGTTCAACGGCAAGTCCAAGTAAAACAACTCAATGTCCTTCTCAAGTTTTATTCTGAGTACTTCCAGGACTCCTTGGCTTATACTTTTTCTGCTGACCTCTCATATTTCTATGGAAGTTTTTAAACCTAGAGGCAGGGGGAGGGGCAGGCTGGCAATGCTTTTCAGAACCTGACTCCATGCCAGTCCGGTAACATTGTCCTGGCGCCTGCCTACATTTTGGACTTCGGAGCATTTCTATTGGTGGTGCCCTCCTCAAGTACTCTTCCTCCTATAAGATCACCTAAGTAGTGTATTTTTCGCTCCATAAGATGATGCACTCTTCCCCCCCCCCCCCAAAAAAAAATGGAGGAAAATGTCTGTGCGTCTTACGAAGTGAATATGGAGCGGGCCGGCCCGGAGTCCCCCCCCCATCACCGTGTTAGAATACCGGGCTGGCCGCTTGGCTCTTTTGTGCAGCAGAACCTGCAGACCTCCAGCGGTCCTACTTGTTCCTCGGTCCAGCGGTGTCCTCACTGTCTTCTCTCTACGGTGCCGGCATCTTTAGTGTGGGCAAATGGCTGTGACAGCTTGCGGCTTCACAGCTGGGTGCCCACTGCACATGTGCGAGAAGCTCTGTGCTTTGTGAATGGCCCCGTAGTCTTCTGGGAGCAGTCATGTGTCACAGAAGACTACAGGGATGGAGAGGGAAGGACAACTCTGCGGAAGTGAGAGCGGGTACCTGTCAAATTTGCGTACCTACTCCCCAAAGGTCCACAGTCTCTGGTCATCTCCTGTACCGTGTCCGCAGTCTCTGGTCATCTCCTGTACCGTGTCCGCAGTCTCTGGTCATCTCCTGTACCGTGTCCGCAGTCTCTGGTCATCTCCTGTACTGTGTCCACAGTCTCTGGTCATCTCCTGTACCGTGTCCGCAGTCTCTGGTCATCTCCTGTACTGTGTCCGCAGTCTCTGGTTATCTCCTGTACTGTGTCCGCAGTCTCTGGTTATCTCCTCTACCATGTCCACAGTCTTTGGTCATCTGCTGTACTATGTCTACAGAGTCTGGTCATCTGCTTTACTATGTCTACAGTCTCTGGTCAGCTGCTGTATTATATCTGCAGTCCATTGGTTCAAAATATTTTTTTTTCGTGTTTTCCTCCTCTAAAACTTAGGTGCGTCTTATGGAGCAAAAAATATGGTACCTGTTGTAAGCTTATACAGCAGGCACTCTCCCTAAGATTACAAATAAATAGCAACCACCCCAACCTATAACTAGCCTTTGCGGCAAGGAGCACATGGAAGATTGATGCACGTCAAAATACAACAAATAAAAATTCCCAGCTCACTTACCAGCCAGCCTGCAACAAAACAGAATTAACACTGTCTAACAAATCACGTTACAACCAGGAGTTTAGTTTGCACACATTTGCAAATATATGTGTAAGCTGCAGAGGTCACGGCACGGCACCCTATTGTACTGCAGCCCTAACTCTATACATTTTTAGAGTCTCCAAAGTTGGAGCACATTTATAATAACGAATAGATTAAGGGCAGGTATGCCTGGAGAGATCCCCCCTCCTTAAAGGTATAAGGACCCACTAGACAACCAGCAACAGCACAACGGCAGGAAAGATATTCAGTGCGTCCATCACCAATATACCAGCAGTACAAACAAATGGCAACCATCCCAACCTATAACTGGTCTTTGCAGCAAGAAATACATAGAAGGGTGACGCAGTTCAAAAAACAACAAAGAAAAATTCCCAGCTCAACACACCAACCAGCCTGCAACAAACCGAATGAACTCTTTAACAGTTCCTGTTAAAACAAGGGGTTTAGTTTGCACACATTTGCAAACATATGCGTAATGAAACCTGCTTTTAAACTGTCCATTACTATATATGTGCTCCATTACTCTATACGTGCTCCACTACTCTATACGTGCTCCATTACTCTATACGTGCTCCACTACTCTATACGTGCTCCATTACTCTATACGTGCTCCATTACTCTATACGTGCTCCACTACTCTATACGTGCTCTACTACACTATACGTGCTCTATTACTATATACGTGCTCCACTACTCTATACGTGCTCCACTACTCTATACGTGCTCCACTACTCTATACGTGCTCCATACTCTATACGTGCTCCATTACTCTATACGTGCTCCATTACACTATACGTGCTCCATTACTCTATACGTGCTCCATTACTCTATACGTGCTCCATTACACTATACGTGCTCCACTACTCTATACGTGCTCCACTACTCTATACGTGCTCCACTACTCTATACGTGCTCCACTACTCTATACGTGCTCCATTACTCTATACGTGCTCCATTACTCTATACGTGCTCCATTACTATATACGTGCTCCATTACTCTATACGTGCTCCATTACTCTATACGTGCTCCACTACTCTATACGTGCTCCACTACTCTATACGTGCTCCACTACTCTATACGTGCTCCACTACTCTATACGTGCTCCATTACACTATACGTGCTCCATTACTCTATACGTGCTCCATTACTCTATACGTGCTCCATTACTCTATACGTGCTCCACTACTCTATACGTGCTCCATTACTCTATACGTGCTCCACTACTCTATACGTGCTCCACTACTCTATACGTGCTCCATTACTCTATACGTGCTCCATTACTCTATATGTGCTCCACTACTCTGTGAGAGTCTCTAACGATGGAGCACATATAATGTATAGTTAGGAGCTGCAGATAATACTGGGGTGCCATGACGTGGTCTCTGCAGCTTACGCATGTATTTGCAAAGGTGTGCAAACCAAACCCCTTGTTTTCACATGAACTGTTAGACAGGACAATTTGGTTGGTTGCAGGCTGGTTGGTAAGTGAGCTGTGAATTTTTGTTTGTTGTTATTGGTTTCTGACATGTGGCTGTATACTTGATTATTGTGGGATGGTTTCTACTGCAGCCTGCACAAGCCTGATGCTTGATATACATTTTTGCTGGTGATTACATGGCAGCATACCTATGGCTAGTCACCAGAAAAGGGAAAATCACAATAAGTAGTTGATACAATTTTCCCGCATCTGGCCCAATCTGGAAGTCGCTTCGCGCCAGATGGCCCAAATATCATGGATCTAATCTATGAGAAATGTTATCCCCCGAATCTGGATGACTAGAAGGTGGAGATGCTTGCAATATTTTTGAAAATGCTCACTTACATTTTTTTTTGCTCAGCTCCTTCAGCTCCAGTGATCTCTTCTCTGAGGCTCGGAAGGCTTTTCGCTGTTCGTAGTATTCCAGGTGTTTCACTTCCCTCTCAAAGAAATGCTGTATGCCAGTGATCTGTAAGGCAAGATTTTATTGGACTTTGTACCACCTTCTAAATCTAGAGGTATTTTGATTGGTCAGTTTACCGTATCTTACCAATATAGGCAGATTTATTACAGACACATTAATATAAATGTGGCACTTATTACATGCTTACCCCGCAGTGTTTATGGGTTTTATTTTCCCCAGGGACACTATCTGCATGGAGTTTGTATGTTCTTGTATTCGTGTGGGTTTCCTGAGAAAACAATTTTTTAATTACAACCTAAACACACATTGGTGCATCTAGATTGTAAGTTCCAAGGATCAGGGCCCTCCTAACCCTCTTGTATTGAACTGTATTGTTGCTGTATTGTCTCCCTTTATATTGTAAAGCGCTGAGCAAACTGTTGGCGCTATATAAATCCTGTATAATAATAATAATATATAAATCCTGTATAATAATAATATATAAATCCTGTATAATAATAATAATAATATATAAATCCTGTATAATTATAATAGTACTGAGAATTTGTCTAAGGGCTCCATGTACACTGCAGCTGATAAACTGACGTTCAGGAGCTTTTCTGCGTTTTTTTTCAGCAGCCCCTGAGCTCTCCCTAATGTTTTCCTATGTGTCCATGTACACGTCGTCATTTACAGTCATTTGCAGGCAGTTGAGTTCACAGTCGTTTTTTTGAACGCACCAAACTTGTGTTTAGGAGTAGATTTTATCAGTGTTCCAAACGCTTGTAAACGCGACTAACTGCGTTTATAAGCGTTTGCATTTAGAAGTGTTTTTTTAACTGTTCCATGTCCAGGTGCTCTCCAGAGCCTTTTTTCAGCATCAGAAATGCATGCAAAGTGTTTTCCATGTATTCAAATGGACCCGGTACACCAGTGCAGTCAGTTCCAGGTTTCGCGTGAAGGAGAAAATGGTAGAACGTGCCGCATTATGCTCATGATGGGATCCATAGTGAATACAACCAGAAAAGACAGGTCATCTCAACACATACTGATCTCTCTCTGCTTCTGCTCTCTCTATTTCTCTTAAAATGTCCGAAATAGTAAATTTTTTACTGTTTTTGAAACGCATTCTGGGCATTTTGGAAGGTCTCCTGAGGTTATCTTTAAAAAACGCTTCTAAACGCAAACGCACATAAACGCGGCTAAACTGACATTTTTTTAACCTACATTTTCCAGCAGTCAGTTTCCGTCATTCAGAAGGGTTTTCCAAACGCCCCGTGTACATGGAGCCCTAAATGTGGTCCTAGTCTGAATCATGCCATCAATATTACCCCCTGCAGACACAGCCATACATGCCCGCTGTGGCAATTTGCACAGGAAAGAACAAAGTCTCCTTTTACATACTTGTAGAAATTTTGATGAAGTAACCAAAATCTCCAGGGTCAGTTCTGCGACTCCGAAACCTGTGACTAATTTGAAGTCCTTGTTCACACAGTGCGGTGACCTACATTTTACAGCACTGGATGAACGCAGGTCACTTCTAGGACACAGAAATTATTGTTTTATACCTGTCCTGTTCACACTCAGCCTGGAGGTCTGATGCGGTGAGCTGCAATACAATGCAGGCATTCTGCACTTCATCCTAGGGACAGGATGGCATTGTAGACCATTGCCATTCACATGTACATACCTTGACACTAAAGTCATTCCACAGACCCTTTTTCCTGACTCTTGATTTTCACATGTTGCTCCAGGCCACAGAGATTGGCATCGTTTATGCACATATAAACCGCAACCACAGTCTATAAAACGTGTCATTTATATCCTTCTCTTGGATTAATCCCACTCTCACTTCATTTCTGCACGTGTTGCACATTTATTGCACTCTGCCTTCCTATCGTCTATGAGCCCAATATCACAAACGGCAACAGTATCCACCGCGTCTCACAAGTAAACGCCCTATAAAATACTGCATACCAACCAGATGTCGAAGCCACTTTGCCGCTGTTCAGGTGCGATGAAAAAGAAGGACTTTGCTTTGTGCATAAGACACATGGGCTACTTAGGCACGGTTCTCCCCTATGTGATTGGCGCACCTCACATTGGCGCGGGTATGGCAGCCCATTCAATTGAAAAAAAGAAAAAAAGGTTCCTGCACTTTTTTTAAATCACAGCTGCATGGAAATTGCATGTTGCTTTTTCGGGAATGCGTGCGAATTACACACATTCCCACACCTGCATATATGTGAACCTAGACTTAAAGGATAAGTTCACCTTTTTTAGAAAAAAATAATAAATGCACATGTTTTTGCAGGTAAAAAAAATTTGCATTTATTATTTTTCTTGGAGCCTGTAAAGTAGATCGCAGGTGCCATACAGGACTCCTGCAGACTTGTCAGTGTATCTCTCTGCTTGTATGGGCAAACAGATGCACACAATGACAGGAAGAGACCATGAACTACCAGGGAGCTCAAAAGCTCTATGGTGGTCCATTGAGAATGACATGCTGAAAGCCGCAATGACTGTCGGTACTTGTAGTTTCCCATTCACAGAACTTTAGTAGTAGTTTTTTATTCACAAAATAAATCACGTGGCCGGGCGGGAGAGTTTTTTTTAACCACTTGTCTACCGGGCACTTCCACCCCTGTCCAGCCCAGGACTATTTTCAGCTTTCAGTTGTTGCACTTTGAATGACTATTGCGCGCTCATGCAACACTGTACGAAATGCAATTTTTATCATTTTTTGAGACATATAGAGGTTTCTTTTGGTGGTATTTAGTCAGCACTGGGTTATTTTTATTCTTTGCTAAACAAACGAGAAAAAGACCAAAAAGATTTTTTCCTTCGTTTCTGTAATAACATTTTGCAAACAGGTAATTTTTCTCCTACATTGATGTGCACTGATGAAGCTGCACTGATGAGTACTGATGAGGTGGTGCTGATGGGCACTGAAGGTCACTGACTATCCATCAATGCAGTCCCAACAGTGTCCATCAGTGTTGTCATTGTTGGAGCTGCACTGATGAGTACTGATGAGTTGGCACTGATATGCGGAACTGATGGGCTCTGAAGGTCACTGACTGGCAACACTGAAGGACACCAATGGGACTGCATTGATGGACATTGTTGGAGCTGCACTGATGAGCACTGATATGCAGCACTGATGAGTACTGATGACTTGGCACTGATATGTGGCACTGATGGGGACTGAAGGTCACTGACTGGTGTCACTGATGGACACTGTTGGGACTGCACTGATGGACATTGTTGAGCTGCACTGATGTCCCTTTGGATGATGTCCTGATATGTAAATACAGTTGCCGATTACCGGCTCTCCTCACACTGTGACAGTGTGAGGAAGGTGCAGCCGATATCCGGCAACTGTGGTCCAACCGTCATTGGACACAGCTGATCACGTGGTAAAAGAACACTGTGATTGGCCTTTACCATGTCATGTGATCATCTGCGTCTAAAGGACACAGTGATTACAGAGCTCACTGGGTGCACACCCCAGGGGGCGTGCGGGAAGCGTGGTTCTGGAGGACGTCATATAATACCCTCCCAGAACAAGACGACTGCGCTGTAGCCTTCATTTGGCTATAGCCCAGTCGTCAAGTGGTTAAATAGTGACAGCCAGCAGGGGGGAAAAGATCCCTCACTCGCTGTCAGTAGAGGCAGCAGAGCGGGCAGTGGCTGGAACATGTAGCATGTTCCCAAAGGTGAACTCATCCTTTAATTGAACACATTCCCGCACCCACAGGCATACAATGCTGCTATTTAGCAGGCATAATTTTTAATAGCACCTCCACGCATCTGAGAATGCAGCATGTTTTCAGGTGTGGGAAATCACATGATTCATAAGGACCATTTCCCGCACATGGGCTGCTTTGCCTGCATAAACAGGAGCTGCACCAATCGCATTCACGCATATGTATGTATCCAGGGGCAGACTGACAACTCATGGGGCCCCCTGGCAATAGGGGATCATGGGGCCCCTGTGTCCTTGCCCAGACTCAAAAAAGCCTATGAAAAAGGTACCAGGGGCATCTCATGGGGCCCCCTACTGACCCCGGGCCCTCGGGCAGTGCCCGAATTTCCAAATGATCAGTCCGCCCCTGTATGTATCTGACCCAAGCCTTATGAGGTGTGCTGAGTTCTGTTAGCACTTGTGATTTGCTGCGCATGCAGAAATAAAGTGAGAGCATGATAAATCCCAGAGACGTATAGAAATGATGAGTTTTATGGATGGTGGTTGCAGTTTATAAGGACATAAAAGTTCTCCCGTCTCTATACCTACCGTATCTCTTCCTTTACATAGATTGTTATATTTCTTGGGAGAGTCACAGCACCACCAGGCAGGCAGAGAATGGTGACGAGTGTGAGCTTTTTATTGTTAGTTTTTGTATGGGGAGCTAATTCCTGAGCAGATAGTGAATCCGATGATAGGAGGATAAGTTCAGGTGAACTGCTTTTTCTAGAAGACTACAGCTCCGCTTTAGCCCTGGTTCACATCAAACATGATTTGGTGCAATGCATTTTGGTCCCACTTAAAGCATGACTTCAAAGCAGCGCTGATATAGACACGGTGCGATTTCACTGCCATTTACCTTATAGTCTATGAGAATTAAATCGCATTGAAGTGGTGAGAATGTAATACAGGAACTACTTTTCAAACCGCGCTACTTGAAATTGCACCTATTAATACATTAGAAGCAACTTTCAGGTTTGTAAATCACATGTCGCACCTGAAGTCACAGCAGTGTGATCCAGGACTAAGGTGTCCATTTATGAACCAGCGGTAAATGATCGCTGCTCAGTTCTCCGGAATTGTCGGAGAACACAGTTCTCCTGTGAATGCCGTTTATGAAGCGGTGTAGATCAGTTCTCCGAACGAAGGGAGAACGGTCTACAAACGCTGGAGAACGGTCTACAAACGCTGGAAAACGGATGATTTTACTATAATTTCGCGAGATTACAGTAAAAGATCAGTTTACTAAACAGAGGTAAATTATCTCTGCTTAGTTTGCGGTCCCTCCGATTCTCTAGCTCTGGGCTGGAGAATCTGGAGGGAGAACACAGATCTCCAGTGAAGAGCTGAACATGTTCTCCCGCTGATCTCCTGAGTGTCATAAACTGTGAATGTCCAGAGAATAGCTGCGATCCTCTGAATCGCAGCTATTCTCTGTGTCATAAACGGACACCTTAAAGAGCTATTTCAGACTACAAGTGAGGTAAGTGAGTGAGCTACGAATGCATTCCAGCACATTGCAGGGGATAGTTCACCCTGAGCCACAGCAGATATACATTTCATTCATATTTCTTCTGGATTCTCATACCTAAAGAGAAACTTGCATTAAGACTGCACTGAAAAATACTCGCTGTAATCAATCTCATTTCATTGTAGCCTTCCCCAGCGGTCTGATTATGTCCATATTTCTGTGCTCAAATCGGTACTTTGCATGGAAATATGTATTTTTTTTATTGTAGGCCTGTAATTCTTAGGAATAACTCACTGAAATCTGTCCGAACAAGAGTCTAGTAAACATCCCGGGTATGTTACAATTTGAACACGAAATCATAAATTATAATTTAATAAATAAACATAAAAACAATATAATAATAATACATTTAATTCAATAATATAATCAAACCAAAAACACTGAAATTTGAAATATAGCGCCAAGTTCGCACATCACTGAGCAAAGTCGCAAAATCAATTTCAGTGTCTGATGACGAATTTCCCCACAAATCATTATCACTCAATTCTGCAAGTGGTTCTGATTTACTATCGCTGTTCTCTAGCCGGTCTAAAAGCAATTTTGACCTAAAGGGACGCTTTTTGGATGCCATGGACGTTTCTCAGTTTCCAGGTAGAAAGAACAGTAAAAATGCAGGCAGGGCGCCGGACAAAGCACTCGGGACAAAATGTATGTGAAATGGTTTGATACAGTAATGTTATACTATGTGATTTTAGTGAATTTAGTGAATGTCACTTTTACAACTTTCAAATTTCCCTCCGGTACGTCCTGACGTCGCAGGGGACGGAACCCGGAAGACAGATGCCGGCATGGGTCGGAGGACATTGCCCGGGAGCGCAGGAAAAGGTAAGTGAAGAAGAGATCCCGGAGCAACACTGCAAGGTATTCCCGAGTGTAGCTCGGTGTTACCGTTTGTGGTGCTGAAACTTTACCCTGAGCTACACTTGGGAATACCTCCAGGGAGGTTAATATAACAATTTCCCAGAGTTAAGCTGGCCATAAACACGAGTGAATTTTGGCTGCTTCCTGATGAACCAGACGAAATTTGAACTGTTGGTGGCCCTGCCAACACCTTCCCACCCAACATCCTTTGATCTGAAATTGCCGGCCAAACAGTGGCTGCATCCAATCAGATGCAGGTACTGTTTAGATATTCTGTCTAGCTGTCAACATACAATAAGCGCAAGGAAGATACCTCCATTTACACTGTATACCCAACTTTAGTGCTACTCCCTGATTCACAACGTAGCCTGCATTTCCTGTGTACATTGGATTCTGGAGCTGCCACATTAGACTATCCTCAGAGTACACAGAGAGAGCTTACCTCTGCGTTTTATGTTGCCCTTATCTAGACTTTAGACACACATAGGGTGATGGGGTGGATGAGACTGAAGGCTGCTGACATCATAAATCACATGACCATCTTGCTAGGAACTCTTGTCATCCCTGGGTTGTCTAATGATTCTGCGATGGCCTCAGTGCCACAACACAATGAGATTGGGCAGGATGAGGCTCTTCCTATATGACATCAGCATACCAAGACATTTTGGACAATTTCATTCTCCCAACTTTGTGGAAACAGTTTGGGGATGGCCCCTTCCTGTTCCAACATGACTGCACACCAGTGCACAAAGCAAGGTCCATAAAGACATGGATGAGCGAGTTTGGGGGGTGGAGTAACTTGACTGGCCTGCACAGAGCCCTGACCTCAACCCGATACAACACCTTTGGGATGAATTAGACCAGAGACTGTGAGCCAGGCCTCCTCCCCCGACATCAGTGCCTGACCTCACAAATGTGCTTCTGGAAGAATGGTCAAACCTTCCCATAGACACCCTCCTAAACCTTGTGGACGGCCTTCCCAGAAGAGTTGAAGTTGTTATAGGTGCAAAGGGTGGGCCAACTCAATATTGAACCCTATGGACTAAGACTGGGATGGCCTTAAAGTTCATATGCACAGTGGCTAAATGTTTAGCACTTCCGCCTGGCAGTCCTCGGGTCATTGGTTTAAATCCCAGCTATGGCACCACCTGCCTGGAGTTTGCATGTTCTCCCTGTGCCTGTGTGGGTTTCCTCTGGGTACTCCAGTTTCCTCCCACACTCCAAAGACATGCTGGTAGGTTAATTGGATTCTGTCTAAATTGGCCCTAATATGTGTATGTATGAATGTGAGTTAGGGACCTTAGATTGTACGCCCCTTGAGGGTTAGGGACTGATATGAATGTACAATATATATGTAAAGCGCTGTGTAAATTGACAGCGCTATATAAGTACCTATAATAAATAATATGTGTGAAAAGGCAGGTCAACCAATACTTCTGGCAATATAGTGGTTTACAACCACTTTAAAGTTTAACTTGATGCACTTTACCACATTGTTTGATTTTTAGATTTCGCATTTACTAATGTTTTTTGCACTTTTATGTGTTGCACTCTAACATTCCGCAATATAATTTTTTTTTTTTTTTAAGCGCTGCACTTTCTTACATATTCTTTAAAGTTTAACTTCACAGCAACAGCCCCCCAAGATCTCATTGGTGCCGCCCAGCTTCTTGTCAGAATCTACGCTATGGTGCACCGCAATCTCTATGTAATCCTATGAAGTGTTTGGACGCTATACTGTCTCGGAATGAATGGGGATTGCAGTGCACTTGAGCAAACCCCATACTAATGATTCTGGTACTGAGGAGGCCACGCAACCTATATGCAGGGCAATTAGGGACTTGAAGCGGAGGGGTTGGATGGTAATCAAATTAGTGTAATTGCACTGAAAGTACAACATCAAGCCAAGTTTCTTCAGTTATTAGCAGTTGTTACTCTTTATCAAACAATTTCTGATGTTATCGGGAACACGCCAACTTTGTGTCGGTTCATGTCCCGTGTTAAAGTGTCCCGTGTCTAGTTGCCATGGAAACATCAACCAGTTTGTCCCAAACATTAAAACATTAGCACAGGTCTCCCCAAAAGAATCCATCTGTTTCTCCACTAAAGTAAAAAAAAGCATATCTTGGGAGCAATAAAGGAATGCTGAAAAGCAAATATTGTGCAAACATGTCTAAAGCCAGATCAAATAAAACATCTCAGCAGCAGTAAAAACAACCTGTAAGTATTCCGACTACTTCACCAAACAAGAAGCTTTTCCTGCACAAACCTCATTAGCAGAGGGGTGGTGGAGGGTCCAGGGGATTTCTAGAACATGCAGGGTCCCGCTGTCGTCTGCCAGGGCCAGGAAATGCTGCTTGGCTGCAATAATAATAATACCAGTTAGCTAAAAAATGACATATTTAAGGCATTCAGCATTTTATTTAGCATCAATAACATAGAAACAGACAGCAGAAAACAGACCTAGTGGTCTATCGAACCTGCCTTTTTTTTCTTCAATATGCACGTTTTTTTTAATAACAGAAAAGAAGAATGAAAAATCTGCAACCTCACTTATGTATACTATAATCTAGATATTATTTTTTACTAAAGTAATAATTTTTAAAACATTTTTTGGATAGATTAAGGGGGGGGGGTGTTATAACCCCTGTCAGTTTTTTTTGTGCCATCTCTGCCCCATTGGAGAGATTTCCCTTCACTTCCTATCCCATAGCCAAACAGGAATTGGGAGGAAATCCCTCCAAAGCAAAGGAATTCTTGGTTGTCACCAGAACTAGTGTCCCCATCAGAATATTTCCTGCCTATTCCTGTTCTGGTGGCAACACAAAATTTGGGATTTTTTCTGGAACAGCTTGCAGACAGTAGATGCAGCAGCTGTATGGAATTACCTGCATATTCAAGTTTGATAGGTATGCAGGGATGGGTGCATGTCCCTGGACGCAGACAGAGTGCTTTGCATTCAGGGTGATGCACCACCGCCGCTGCATCCCTGTGAACTCACGTGCAGATTAACAAAGGCTGCCTGCACGCAGCTTCAAGGTGCTTTGGAAACATATACAGCTCTTGCTCGCTGTACGGATCTCTGCATCTGTGTGAATGAGCCCTAAAAAAAAAGTGTGTGTGTGTGTGGGGGTCACCTTTTTTAAATAATATTTGGATTCTATACGTATACAGTTGTGTTCAAAAGTTTGCATACCCTGGCAGAAATTGTGAAATGTTGGCATTGATATTGAAAATATTTTTATGTCCTTTTACATCTTTATAAAGTTCCATTACCTTGTTACGCAGGACTTTTGACAGTTCTTTTCTGCTCCCCATGGCTCAGTATCTAGCCTAGTCAGTGCTTCCACGTAAGAGCTAACAAACTCATTGACTATTTATACACTGACACTAATTGCAATTTAAAAAGCCACAGATGTGGGACATTAACCTCTAATTGGCATTTTAACCCATGTGTGTCACCTTGTGTGTCTGTACCAAGGCCAAACATTCCAGGGGAGGGAAACTTTTGATCATGGCAATTTGGGTGATTTCTGTTATCATTATGATTTAAAAAGGAGCCAAACAACTATTTGATAATAAATGGCTTCATATGATCATCATCATTCAATAAAAAGAGCATTTTCTGGCATGATCAGTCATATTTTCAATATCAATACCAAAATTTCACAATTTCTCCCGGGGTAAACTTTTGAGCACACCTGTATACACAGGCTGTGTTTATATACTTAATTTATTTTGCATCTGTTGTCAGAACATTGCAATGTATACTTATGTCCTTTCTGTCTGAGTTTAACAATGGCCGTTTGGCGGCTTCAAAGGTGTCTCTGCACTCCGGGTGCACGCCATGTGGCGTGCTCCCGCACATGCGCAGTTTGCGCTAATGCAGAGCGGCGTAGCAGTGCGATCTGTCACCGGCCGTGCACCTCGGACACGGCCGATGACAGATCCGAGTACCGGCTCCCGTTGCTGGTACCATGTGACCTGCTGTGACCAATCACAGCAGGTCACATGACAGTTGTATACAATGGATGACTTCATTCATGATGCCATCCATTGTATACTAGTGCCTAGCTGTGAATGGTCACAGCTAATCACATGCACATGTCATGTGATTAGCTGTGACCAAATCACAGCTAAGCACAAAAAAAAAAAAAAAGCTGAATGAATCGATTTCATTCAGGTAAATGCTTGCTTATAGCAAAGTAATTCTTTGCTATAAGCCTATTGTGTAAAAAAAAAAAAAAAAAAATACTGATCACTTCCCCAAAGTAGTACAATGTTACTATGGTAACATTGTACTACTTTGGTCATAGTAAAATATGAAAAAAAATCTTAAAAAAAATTAAAAAAAATGTAATAAAAAATTAAATATAATAAAAAAAAATTAAAAAAAATAAAAAATATATATATATATTTTTTTTTTTCATACTGTCACCAGTCAGTGTCCCTGTTCACCGCCATGCCAGTTATATGATGACGCTGTACTGCACTGGTGACAGTATGTAAAAAAAAAAAATGTGAAAATAATTTTTTTAATTTTCCGAAAAATTATGACAAAAAAATACAACTTCAAAAAACTCGCCATGCCTCTTATGAAGTATGTCGGACTGTCTACTCTGCAAAAAGTGGTCATTTGGGGGATATCTGTACTATTCTGACAATCTTGGACCTCAAGAAATTAGATTGGCTGTCAGTACTTCAGGATTGATCAATATTCAGATCTATACCATAGTTTGTGAACTCTATAACTTTCCTACAAACTAATAACCCTAATTTGGGTTATTTTCACCAAAGACATGTAGCAGAATACATCTCGGCCTAAATTATGAAGAACAATTATTTATTTGTAAACTTTTATAACAGAAACAAAGAAAAATGTGTTTTTTTTTTCAAAATTTTTGGTCTTTTTTTGTTAATTTAGCAAAAAATAAAAACCCCAGCGGTGATTAAATACCACCAAAAGAAAGCTCTAGTTGTGTGAAGAAAATGATAAAATTTTAGTTTGGGTACAGTGTTGTATGACTGCGCAATTGTCATTCAAAGTGTGAGCGCTGAAACCTGAAAAATGGCCTGGGCAGGAAGGTGTAAAATTGCACGGTATTGAAACGGTTAAAGAGACCCTGTCACCAAGAAGGTGCAGGTAAAAGCACAGTGAGCTTTTGAAATGTTTATTTGCTTTCCACGAATGACATTTTATATATTTGCACTATTCATTTGGAACTTACTAGCAGAATTTCACTACTACTAGTATAGTCCCCAGTCCCGTACCTCCTTGCACACCATAGCCTTCTTTTCTTCTGGGAGTGTCTAATTACTGTCTGTGCTGGTCCAGCTACTCCCCCTTTTTCCCATTACATAATCTTTAATGTAGCAGCCAGGCAAAGAAGTTAAATCAATTTCATTACAGGCTGCATTAGTATTATGGTTGCCCTCAAAGAACCAGTTGTATCTAGATTTCCAGAGCACCCTCCCCCCTACATCAGATGTCAAGTGCCCACCCAGCCATCAAAAGTCAAGAGTCCCCCACCCTCCCTTACATCACAGTGCACCCCCTTACTTTGTGCTGCTACCGGGAAGAAGCTCTCAGGGGGGCAGAGCTGGGAAGCAGAAAGTGCAGGGTCTGGAAGTGGACCAGAGAAGGGCCGGAGTCAGTGGCCGGAGTCTGCTGAATGCTGAGACCAGGGAGGCAGAGACAAAGCTGCACAGAGAGGTGCAGGATCTGTAGCAGGTGTTCAGGCATGCTTTCTGCTGTCGATTACGGAGATGCGGGGGGAAGAGAGACGAGCCTTTCCATGGCTGCACGCAGAAGTGCAGAATCTGGAGGAGAAATTCTATCCTCCTTTCTGCTGCCGACTGCTGAGACGGGGAGTAGAGGGGGAGGATGCAGAGACAAGCCTCTTCGTGAATGAACAGAGAAGTGCAGAATGTGACATTTAGTCATTCTCTCTGCTGCCGACTACTGAGATAAGGTGGGGGGTGTCGCAGTGATAGGAGAGATGCGAGGGCCAGATGAAATGGCCTGGCGGGCCAGATTCTGCCCGCGGGCCTTAGGTTTGACACATAAGCTATAGGGTGTCACCTAAGCAAACAGCTTTGAGTCTGCTGAGGCTGTGGACATCATATTTAAGATGGCGGCACTCAGCAGCATTCTCAGGGATTTCGGATATGTACACAAGGGAGGATTTTACAGGTTAAGAACAAATATAAAGTGTCAACTGTTGTTGAAATAAATGGTCTGGTGACAGGGTCTCTTTAAAGCAGACATGCACATGTACATAGACTTACCTTTCATTCACTGACAAACCACTCTGTTCAGCCATCAGGGGTAAAAATAAAGTATGACTTGCTGAAGTTGCAGCTTACACAGGGCTATGCACTGAAGCCGGCCATACATGGATCAAAATTCAGCCAGTTCATCAGGGACCGGACGAATTTCATATGTATGTATGGACAGGGAGATTATACAGTAGTCGATCTATCTACTGATTGACTTCTGTACCACCACCCTGTCGGATTTTCCCCACTTGATCAGTGCTGCAGGCTACAGTCTGCAATAATGATTAGTGAATTTTAACAGCGGGGAAGTCTCCTAGTGTCAGAATACACCCTGTTCCAAATTATTATGCAAATTCTATTTAAGTGTCAGAAAGATTAAATATTTTGTTTTTCAGTTTAACTCATGGATGGCATTGTGTGTCAGGGCTCTTTAGATCACTGAAAACAATCTCGGACACCTGTGATAATTAGATTGGCAGGTGAGCCCTATTTAAGGAAAAACTACTAAAGGAGGGTGTTCCACATTATTAAGCAGAGCACCATTTTCAAGCAATGTGGGGAAGAAAAAGGATTTCTCTGCTGCCGAAAAGAGTGAAATAGTTCAATGCCTTGGACAAGGCTGTTCCAACAAGGCTGCGACGTCAGAAAGGCGATGGTGGAGTCATGTTTTGGGCCGAAATCATGGGAACAGAGCTGGTCGGCCCCTTTAGGGTCCCGGAAGGTGTAAAGATGACCTCTGAAAAGTATGTGGAGTTTATGACTGACCACTTTCTTCCCTGGTACAGAAGGAATAACTATGTTTTCTGTAATAAAATCATCTTCATGCATGACAATGCACCATCTCATGCTGCAAAGAATACCTCTGCATCAATGGCTGTTATGGGGATAAAAGGAGAGAAAGTCATGCTGTGGCCTCCATCCTCCCCTGACCTCAATCCTATTGAGAACCTTTGGAGCATCCTCAAGCAAAAGATCTATGAGGGTGGGAGGCAGTTTACATCCAAACAGCAGCTCTGGGAGGCTATTCTGACATCTTGCAAACATATTCAAGCAGAAACTGTCCAAAAACTCACAAGTTCAATGGATGCAAGACTTGTGAAGCTGCTATCAAATAAGGGGTCCTATGTTACAATGTAACGTGACCTGTTAAAACGTTTAAAAAGTTAAAATGTTGTTAAAAGTTTGATTGAAATAGCTTTTGATTTCAGTAAATATGCTGCAAACACGACAAATGACAATTTTCAGTTCTTTACAACCTATAAAGTGTTTTGAAACTTACTGTGCGGAATAATTTGGAACAGTGCATTGGAAGTGTTTTATGTTTAAAAAAAATCCTGTTATCATTAGGAGGTTTGTTCAATAAAATGTGAATTGTACTCTTAATAGTTGATAACATGAGAATTATGCTGACTGTCATTTACATCAATTATTTAGGTAAATGAGAAAAATATCATTTGCATAATAATTTGGAACAGGGTGTACAATAGCTCAGCTCAGGATTCCCCCATCCACCTCAAGTGTGTGGATGGAGGCAATAAGTCAGTTTTTTTTTGTTCAAGCCACTGGTTGAACAAAAAAACCTGACCCATCTATGGCCAGCTTAATCGTGTGAGGGTGCTGATTGGCCCAGCTCTGTCCAATAGAATGAGTCTCACGTTTTCCATACCTGAAAGTACCAGACAATTCTTTTGCTTCCTGCGGCTGAATGGAGCGGTGGGGACAAAGATAAAAAAAAATGTAAATATGTGCTGCTTGGGATAGATACCTGTTGCTTTGTTGTGAATGGATTTTCTATAAACATAGAGGTCTATGGCTCTGCATCATGTGCTTCAATGTGAAAACGGAGACCATGATGATGTCATGAAAAGATTACAAAAATGATCCTGAGATAAGAGAACTCATCTTTTATAGTGAACTGGACCTCTTTACTGCATTTAGACATCCCTAGTTCTGTCATCTGTGGAAATCATAGTGGTGGTCATCTCCAATCCCCTTACCAGAGACAATCCATGGTTTAATATAGGTGATGGCCGCTGCTGAGATGTTCTGTGTCTGGGAAGGCTCATGTGTCTTCTCTAGCAGGTCCCATATCTCCACATTTCCATCTTCCTTTCCAATGAAGAAGACACCACTCCTGGAAAGGGACCAGTGGGCCGCAGTGTACCTCTTCTCAGAGCAACATGACTGGAGAATTGGCCCACTCTAAAAAGCAACAAAACACTTTGATCATAAAAATGATTCTACAATTTTATTTTTACACACACTTCATTAAATCATAAGTAGATAAATGGACCCCATATACAGTACAAACACATACAACCAAGTCTTTAGTCTTCATGATCAGAGTAGGAAATGGTTAAAACACTTGTCAATTTTTTTGGCATCATTGGATCTCTAAGTGCCAAAAACCACCATAACAGTAGAAATATAATGTGCTACTTACAGTTACACCTTCTTTCCATATGGCAAAGTTCCAGCCTCCAACAGAGAGAACAATGTCCTGTAAGAATGGAGATCTCTGCACAGTGTGAACAAGGCCATCATGTGCGACGTGGGTCTGCGTCGGTTTAGAGCCTGGTGATGCCGAGTAAACCAAGAAAAACTTGTTCAGAAAACATTCTACATTTAATTCACATGAAGGCAAAGAAGTGCTCTATTAAATGTTTTCTACAAAGCATTTGGAAATGCGAGATTTTAGTAAATCACATCGTATTCTCTATATGGCTAAAAGTATGTGGACACCCTGTAAATTGTAAATTGTTTAAATTCAGGTATTTTCCAGTAATGCTACAGCATAGAACAACATTTTAGATACGGTAATTTTGCATTTACAACTTTATTGCAATAGTTTAGAGAAGGTCTTTTTTCATAGACACCCTGTGAAAGAATAATGGAGGCTGTTATAGCTGCAAAGACGAGACCAATTCCATATCATTCCCATAGTTTTGGAACAATATGTCTAACAAGGTCATATAGATGTGATGGTCAGGTGTCCACAAACTTTTGGCCACACAATGTATGTTCTAACCTGAAAAATATACATTTTTATAGGTTATGAACTGAAAGCTAATGGAAGTCAAAAGACAATCTGGTCTTGAAACCCTGAAACTCAAACACCCACTTGCAGGTAAAGAACCCACAAGGAGAGAACAAAAACATACCGTAAATCTATGGCTGTCAATACTCTGCTGTTAGCCTCTAGCCACCATCCACAGCCCTTGATACGGGGATTCCCACTGGACAGTTCTTGCATATTCGCAGGAACTGCACCAGTGGTGACGATTATAGACAGGAGGCAGAGGATCTTTATGGGAGATTTCATGAGAGAAGATACTCCCATGGAATTATTTGACGGTCTCGCAAGAGGGCCTCAACATGACAACGAGAGTCACTTTTAAATACAAATAGTGAGGACAAGCCCTCTCAGGATAACCCACCTGTATGTATTATTACCTGGTATGGCACTCAGTGGGAAGAGGTAGGGAGTGGGAGATAAAGAGGTCATGGATGGCGGTGAGCTTGTTGCAAACCGAACGGGTGTTCAGGAGTGCAACTGAGAGAGGAGGGGTGGATGTGGGGAGGAGGGGGACGGGTATAAGGTTGAGGGGGTTACGGCGGCTAGCGGGAGCAGGAGAGTGCCCAGAGGGGGAGTGGGGAGGTGGGGGGCCAGGGTTCGGGGAGATGCCTATGTCGGTTAGAAGGAGAAGGGTGAGGAAGGTGGCATGGTAACGGGGTGTGCAGGAGCGTCTGGATCTGTTAGTAGTGGCATGTGGGTCGGCGGGAGAGTGGAGTATCAGGAGGAGGTGGTGAGAGCCGTAGTGTGGAGAAGGAAGAAGTGAAGGAGCAATGTAGAGCTGTTTTGGGAGAGTAGGGGGGTAGAGGGAGGCGATTTTGAGAATGGAGGAGAGGAATGCGAGGTGGAGGAGTGCAGGTGGCATGTTAGGGTGAGCGGAGTGCTGGTCAAATCGGGGGAGGTGAAAGGTTTCACATCAGGGCGCGATGATGCGGAGAGTCTGTCTTGCTGTGGGGGAGTTCATCTGTGTCCATCTGTAGGAGGAGAGTGAGGGTGGTGGTCAGCTGGGTCAGCAGCTGGCTAGTTGCAGTCTGTGGGTGCTGTAGGCGGCGTCCGTGGGTGCTGTGGCACGGCATTAGTGGGTACAGTGGCTCGGCGACTGGACGAGCTGTAGGGTGCGGTGTCTGGGGGTGTCAGCATTGAGTGTATACATCCTCAGACTGGTGGACTGCCATTACCGTTTAGATCTTTCATGCTGATATACAACCTATCTGTGGTTATTCAGGGGTCCCTGTGAGTTTGTAACTCCATACTGCCATTCAATGGCAGTGATATTGCATATGACATCATATTTAGTTAATGTATGATGCCTGCAGCCTACATAGCCCCATTTTCATGTTATGGATATTCCAGTGTGTATGGTAGATATGTCTTAGTGCCCTGGTGGGTGGTTTTATGACATGACAACATTGTGATTGTGTTTTACTCTCGTGTAGGGTGGAGGGACTATTTTTGCTATACTGATATCTTACAGTATTCAATAAATATTTTTCTAAGCCGCAGATTGTTCTCTTTGGGACGTCTTTTCTTGTGGGTTCTTTACCCGCAAGCGGGTCTTTGTGTTGCATATCCTATTGGTCCTGAAGGCAACACCTCAATTTTGGTGAGTCGGTCTGTTCATTTATACCATACTTTAGCATGGTTCCAGATTTTGATTTGATCATTTTTGTATCTTGAAACCCTGAGCCTCGAAAAGATAGAACCTGGGAGATAACGTTGCCAATTAGTTTTTGAAGGTGCACATTTCAGATCTGTCATCTTTATAAAGTATTAACTTGCTGATCTGGAAAGAGAATGGCAGCCAATGAGGTACTGGGACTTCTGGTATCTACCTACTTTTTCCAGACCAATGACTCACCAAGGATGAAAATGACATCCCCAAGCTTATGAGGGGCAAATACACAGGGTGACCCACAACAGATCTGTTTAAGATTGAGCTGAAGCCAGGTTAATGATTCCAAAGCTGGCCATACACTAGTAGACTTTCTAATGAAATTCTTACAAACATGACAAATGTTGATCAAAAGTACTTTTAAAAACAATTTGCTTTTAACATTCGATTTTGGAATGAATGGACTTTCCCAAACAAAGGCCACATACAAATGGATTTGCTCAAGAAAATGTTTCCATCCTGCACCTTCAAATTTTCTTGTCACTACGACCATCGATTTGACCCCTCTAACAATTAGAAAATGTAACGAATGTTCCTGACATGGAAATATTCTCTATGTGCCCTAGTCACACCACAACACTTATATCACGTGCAGATTTGTTCTGCGCGGGAATCTGCAACGTCTATAAAACTAATTGAAATGCGCATGAAAACTGATGTAAGTGCTGGTTCACATATACAGTTGTGTTCAAAATAATAGCAGTCAAACATCACTAACCTGATCAATCACTGTTTTTGGTAGAAATGATATTTCTACATGGCAAATAATTTACTAGCAGGTATAGTAGAGTAATAGAAACCCAACAGACCCAACAGTCATGACATGCATGCTGCTGATTCTGTGTAATTGAATCACTAATTGAAAGGGGCATGTTCAAAATAATAGCAGTGTGGAGTTCTATTAGTGAGGTCATTCATTCTTTGAAAAACAGGTGGCAATTATTGCCCTTATTTTAAGGAAGGAAGGCAGCAAATGTTGTACATGCTGGTTACAGTGCATTTCTCTCTGAAATTCTGAGGAAAATGGGTCATTCCAGACATTGTTCAGAAGAACAGCGTACCTTGATTAAAAAGTTGATTGGAGAGGGGAAAACATATAAAGAAGTGCAGAAAATGATAGGCTGCTCAGCTAAAATGATGGCAAATGCTTTAAAATGGCAACCAAAACCTGAAAGACGTGGAAGAAAGCAAAAAACTACCATTCGAATGGATAGAAGAATAGCCAAAATGGCAAGGACTCAGCCAACAATCAGCTCCAGGAAGATCAAAGGTGTAAAGTTACCTGTGAGTACTGTTACAATTAGAAGACGCCTATGTGAAGCCAAGCTATCTGCAAGAAGCCCCCGCAAAGTCCCAATGTTGAAAAAAAGACACGTGCTGAAGAGGTTACAATTTGCCAAAGAGCACATTGACTGGCCTAAAGAGAAATGGCGCAACATTTTGTGGACTGATGAAAGTAAGATTGTTCTTTTTGGGTCTAGTGGCCGGAGACAGTTTGTCTGACGACCCCCAAACACTGAATTCAGGCCACAGTACACTGTGAAGACAGTGAAGCATGGTTGCGCAAGCATCATGATATGGGGATGTTTCTCATACTACGGTGTTGGGCCTATTTATCGCATACCAGGGATCATGGATCAGTTTGAATACATCAGAATACTTGAAGAGGTCATGCTGTCTTATGCTGAAGAGGAAATGCCCTTGAAATGGGTGTTCCAACAAGACAATGACCCCAACACACCAGTAAATGTGCAACATCTTGGTTCCAGACCAACAAGATTGACGTTATGGAGTGGCCAGCCCAATCCCCAGATCTTAATCCAATAGAAAACTTGTGGGGTGACATCAACAATGCAGTTTCTAAGGCAAAACCAAGAAATAGAGAAGAACTGTGGAATGTAGTCCAATCATTCTGGGCTGGAATACCTGTTCACAGGGGCCAGAAGTTGGTTGACTCCATGCAACACAGATGTACAGCAGTTTTCAGAAACAGTGCTTATACAACTAAATATTCATTAAGTGATTCAAAGGAAAGCAAAATCTTCAAACATTTTTCAGTTTATATAGTGAATGTTTGAGTTTGTAAAGAAGAATACAAACACTGCTATTTTTTTAGAACAGTCTAATATTCACTTTTCTTCAATTTTTTTTAGAGGACACAACAACACAAATTTGATATATTTTTCATCATGTTTTGATTTGGAATAGAATGTGTAGTGTTCCCAATGCATTTGTGTGTATGGAAATAAAAGCTATTAGAAGGATTTTGAGCTTTATTCACTTTTTTCAACACACTGCTATTATTTTGAACACAACTGTATGTGTACTGGATGCGGTTTGAACCGCATCCAGTCTGCATGATGTGGAAAATATTGCTTCCTATGGTGCCTGTTCACATATGTCCGGTGTACTGGCAATGTGGATTCAGAGCGGTTTGAAAAAGAGTTCTGTACAATTTCTAAGCAGTGCCTTCAGGTTCAGGTGTGAATTACAGGCTATTGACTTCTATGGGAACCATTTCTAAACACACATGTGTGAACAGGATAAGATCCTGAGCTAATCCTGTCCTGAACCTGATGTAAACCTGACATAAATCTGTGAACAACTACTGTATCAATTAGCTGTGAAATCTGAACGTCATTCTGCACTGCACATGTGTGAATCAGCTCTAAACTGATGTCTCTGCAAGTCAGATTCCATCAAATTTTCTGCACATATGGTGTGAACAAGGCCTTAATCCAACAGCAGCCAATCATATCCTCCAGTTTAAGCTGGCATATTGCATCAGGAATGCGACTGGCTGCTGCAGAAACAGTTCAGTCTTTTGGTTTTTTGATAATAGGTCACTTTGTCTGATGTGTGATAACATATGGATCGTTCTTACTGATAAACCTTCCTGTATCGCCATCTTTCTCCATCTTCCAGTCTGTGTACACTAGTTCACCATCCTGCAACACAAGATGAACACGTTTATGTCTCTATGGCCAACCTGACATTAAAAAGTAATGGAACATTGTTATAGCCTGATGACACTATCTTGGGGCATCCTTCCACCTACAGAGAGGCTGTGTGCACACTGATGGCCAAGATAAAACTACCTCAGGCCAACACAGTTAGCTTTTAACAGACAAATGTTTTGTCAAGGAGCACATATTTTCAGCCAAGACTGTAATGTTCAAGTTGAACTATAACTGCACCTTTGATGTAGTTGCACTCATATTGCACTGCCCCCTGCAACTTATACTTACTTGTCTGGGATCTAGCAAGCTATCAGCAATGAAGCCATGAAGTTCCTTGTCAAAATCTTTTCAGCTGGACCCACACATGCACAGTACAATCTCCATTCATTTATACGAAGACTGCAAAGTTCATACTCTACTGCAGCATGGAGCCTTAGTAGACTCAAAGTGAACCTGTGCTTAAAGAGGATCTTCAGCCCCCCCCCCCCCCTTAAAAAAAAGGCAGCAGATACTCTAGCTCAGTGGTCTCCAAACTGTGGTCCGTGGGCCAAATGCGGCACTTTGCTTGCCTCTATCCATCCCTTGGGGTACTATTCCTCAATGACACCAACAAGGAGGCACCATTTCTTCCACTGGGACCAACTATGGGGCATTTTTTCTTCCACTGACGCCAATGATGAGGCACAATTCCTCCCACTGATATAAACAGTTAGGTACTATTTCTCCAACTAATACCAAGGATGGGGCACTATTCCCTTCTCTGATACCAATTGTGGGGCACTATTCCTCCCACTGACACCAATGATGGAGCACTATTCCTCCCACTAACACCAATGATGGGGCACTATTCCTCCCACTGACAGCAATGAGGGGGTACTAGCCCTCTCACTGACCCCAATGATGAGGCACTATTCCTCCCACTAATACCAATGATGGGGCACTGTTCTTCCTAGTAATACCAATGATGGGGCACTATTCATCCTAGTAATACCAATGATGGGGCACTTTTCCTCCTAGTAATACCAATGATGGGGCACTATTCATCCTAGTAATGCCAATGATGGGGCACTATTCCTCCCACTAATACCAATGACTGGACACTATTCCTCTGTACACTGACTTACAAGCTCTGTAATTTTTTTTTACTCCTAATGACACTGGGACATTTTCTACTCCCACTGGGCACTCCGGCCCTCCTAAAGTTTGAAGGTCAGTAAACCTACCCTTTGTTTAGAATGTTTGGAGACCCCTGCTCTAGCTAATGACTTTTAATAAAAGGACATACCTGTCCAGGGATCCAGCAATGTCCTCACCCAAGCCAGTTCTTTGCTGATCTTTGGGTCTCCAGTGCCACCATGTCTAGTGTGGGAAGCCGGCTGTGACTCCTTGTGGCTTTACAGCTGACTTCCTCCGGCGAGTCACACTGTGTTTTGTGAATGGACCTGCAGCCTCTTGGGGCCTGTCCCAGAAGGCTGCGGGTAAAGGGGGGGGGGCAAACTTCCACTCGGATAACTCAAGTGATACAAACAGAAGTGGGAGTGGGTACCTATTAAAATTAGATACCTCCCCCCCCAAAAAAAATGTATCCAAAACTGATAGAGGAGAGGGGGAAGGAGGGAGAAAAGTGGAACTTCCCTTTCTATTTTAATGCCCCTATCCCCGAGTAGCACATACTCATCTACAGCTCTGTTCACCTACAAGGAGTGTGGAGAGGAAGCGCCATGTAACTTCCAATTTGCTGTAATTGGATCTTACACAGGGCTGATGACTCCCCACCTCCATGTGTTAGCGTTGGGCCAAAAATCAAGCACCGGCACGGTCACATCTGGGGAAGGGAAGTAAGTCACATGCTCCTCTGTACTCAGACGTACCAGGTATTTTCTTTGATCCCAGTGGCCAAATGGAGCAAAAGAAAAACTGAGTATATGCTGCTGCAGAGGGGAATGGGGGGGTTTGGCATTATATCCTGCATATGAAAAGCACACCTTTGCTTTATCTGGCCAGAGACATAGAGAAAAGTCTAGCAGTCTCATGATATATCCTGGGCTATTTTATTCTGAAAACTGCAGCCTTCTAGTCATATTACTGTCTCTGTATAGGCATTGGAGAAAAGAAGGGAATTGAGAACCTGGCATGGGGGATAACTAGATCAATCAGTCAAGGTTTCCTCTTTTTGATCCCCAAGAACCCCTGGTTAGGGGTTTAGTGCACTGTCCTATGGACAAAGTGTTGTCCCTTGATTCAACCAAATATAGCCAAAGATTGGCAACTGTCTATGTATGCTTTTACATCAAGAAAGAGGAGTAGAGCAGAAATGCCACTATTATTATTATACAGGATTTTTAAACAGTAATACTAAAGAAGAGCCTGCATGTGATTGAAAGTTTGGATGCCCCAAAGTCAAGTACTGCTTTTATTTTGACAGAGAGGATTAGTGTGGAAAAGTCAAAAAAGGAAGAAGAAACATCATATGTCATTGAAAATGATGGCCGCTCCAATGTCTGCAAATGGTTTACTTTGAGAGGGAACAGTGTGAAACCTCACTAAAAAATGTATTGCTGAGCAGAATGCAGAGCCTACATATGCAATGAAATAACATTGAGGCTCTGAGGAAGAAGGATATACCTTCGAAACGCGTCAGCCTTCAGGGACCCGGCATGGCCTCCCTGTGCTTGGGTTATGGTTCCAATTGGCCACAGAAGTGTGGCTCGATGAGTGTGTATTCGTTTATGTTTGTGAGTAGTTATTATTTGGATTTATATTAAATAATCTTTGGATAATACACTAGGCTGGGGCACCCTCTCTTTCTACTGTTTTTTTCCTAATGAAATAACATGGCTGCCCCCATGTCTAAAGGTGCTTTTACTTCGAGAGAGGAGCAGTGCACAACAGCCACGACACTACGAAAGCAGAAAGAAGAGCCTGCACATGTAATAGAAAATATGGCTGTCCCCATGTACTGTACATGCAAAGAAACGGCTGTCAAAACATTAACAGGTATTGGTAAGAATATTACAAAAAAGTAAACCTGTCATTTCTGCCTACATGTAAAAAGAACCTCTCAAGCCAACACTGGACACCATCCCTTGCAAATCAAATTCATTTTTCAAGTTCCACTGCAGGACCCTTGTGAGCCACTGAAATCTGGGGTCCATAATATGCAAAATCCAACTTTTATTTTTTACAGTCATTGATTCTATAACACATCCTTGTGGTCTCAGTAATGTATAGAGAGGCACCTTGCATTGTATGAGGTTGAATGAATGACTTAGTGCAGATCATTAATAGGAGTTTATTAGTTGCATACTGCATGCCCTGAGTCTGTAGGGAAATTAATGATATACAGTGGGGATCGAAAGTTTGGGCACCCCAGCTAAAAATTTGTATTAATGTGCATAAAGAAGCCAAGGAAAGATGGAAAAATCTCCAAAAGGCATCAAATTACAGATTAGACATTCTTATAATATGTCAACAAAAGTTAGATTTTATTTCCATCATTTACACTTTCAAAATAACAGAAAACAAAAAAATGGCGTCTGCAAAAGTTTGGGCACCCTGCAGAATTTATAGCATGCACTGCCCCCTTTGCAAAGCTGAGACCTGCCAGTGTCATGGATTGTTCTCAATCACCATCTGGGAAGACCAGGTGATGTCAATCTCAAAGGTTTTAAATGCCCAGACTCATCTGACCTTGCCCCAACAATCAGCACCATGGGTTCTTCTAAGCAGTTGTCTAGAAAACTGAAACTGAAAATAGTTGACGCTCACAAAGCTGGAGAAGGCTATAAGAAGATAGCAAAGCGTTTTCAGGAGTCAATATCCTCTGTTCGGAATGTAATTAAGAAATGGCAGTCATCAGGAACAGTGGAAGTTAAAGCAAGATCTGGAAGACCAAGAAAAATATCAGACAGAACAGCTCGCAGGATTGTGAGAAAAACAATTCAAAACCCACGTTTGACTGCACGATCCCTCCAAAAAGATCTGGCAGACACTGGAGTTGTGGTACACTATTCCACTATAAAGAGATACTTGTACAAATATGGTCTTCATGGAAGAGTCATTGGAAGAAAACCTCTTCTACGTCCTCACCACAAAAATCATCGTTTGAACTTTGCAAATGAACATATAGACAAGCCTGATGCATTTTGGAAACAGGTTCTGTGGACCGATGAGGTTAAAATTGAACTTTTTGGCAATGAGCAAAGGTATGTTTGGAGAAGAAGGGGCACAGAATTTAATGAAAAGAACCTCTGTCCAACTGTTAAGCATGGGGTTGGATCAATCAAGCTTTGGGGTTGTGTTGCAGCCAGTGGCACAGGGAACATCTCACGAGTAGAAGGAAAAATGGATTCAATAAAATTGCAGCAAATTTTGGATCGTAACTTGATGCCATCTGTGAAAAAGCTGAAGTTAAAGAGAGGATTGCTTCTACAAATGGATAATGATCCTAAACACACCTTGAAATCCACGGGGGATTACATCAAGAGGCGTAAACTGAAGGTTTTGCCATGGCCTTCACAATCTCCTGACCTCAACATAATTGAAAATCTATGGATAGACCTTAAAAGAGCAGTGCGTGACAGACAGCCCAGAAATCTCAAAGAACTGGAAGACTTTTGTAAGGAAGAACGGGCAAAGATACCTCAAACAAGAATTGAAAGACTCTTGGCTGGCTACAAAAAGCGTTTACAAGCTGTGATACTTGCCAAAGGGGGCAGTACAAGATATTAACTCTGCAGGGTGCCCAAACTTTTGCAGATGCCATTTTTTTTGTTTTCTGTTATTTTGAAAGTGTAAATGATGGAAATAAAATCTAACTTTTGTTGACATATTATAAGAATGTCTAATCTGTAATTTGATGCCTTTTGGAGATTTTTCCATCTTTCCTTGGCTTCTTTATGCACATTAATACACATTTTTAGCTGGGGTGCCCAAACATTCGATCCCCAGTGTAGATTAGCACCAGGTGGTGCCTAGTATCTGATAATATTCACATATATAGTATACATAATTAAAAAAAATTTCCCTGCAGGAGCAAATTGAATCATTTTTTGCTGGGTTTTTTTTTGCCTTCCTCTGGATCAACTGTGGATATAGGATTATAACTTTTTTTTTAATGGTTGAACTGGATGGACTTTTGTCTTTTTTTCAGCCAGACTAACTATGTAACATAAAATAATTTTTAAAGGATAACTGTACTTGTAAACACATTCGCTGTTTTAACATATCCACAGATACAGAATGACTTTGTAAGGATAAACCTGTTCCTCCTCTTGCCTTATTCTTATACAGCCACCAGCAAAGGCCTTGGCCAGCGTAAACATTGCTCTGTTTACATTCAACTTGCAGCAGCCTGAGCTGTAACTGCAGACAAGGACTGAAAAAAGGAGAGCATCTGTTTCACATATTTGTTTGGTTCAGTGTCTCCACTGCCTTGATGAGTTCTTTGCACTGCACTTGTATAATCACTTGAGATCACAAGCTACTAGAAGCAGCCAATGGGTATGTTTAGCTTACCAAGTTCACCTCTCCTAAATATGTTTCCACAACCAATTGTGAAATGAAAATTGCATATCTAAAGGGACCCAAGATGGCTTTCTTGTTCTTAGTCTTGGTCTGCAGACGTGCCCTCTGCTCTAAAGCTGAACCCACGCAGAGGCTTCCTGTTTCTGGCAGATTGTAATCTCTAATGATTGCAAAAAAGTCCATTCCAACATAGATAAAATCATAATTTATGGCCACCAGGTGTGAAATATAATTTCAGACAAGTATGTGGAGGTAATTCCTATGTTTGCTTGCCTCGTCTGCAGTTATAAGGCATAAGCAAATTGACGAGCTGAATTTAAACAAAGCAATGATTATACTATACTAGACTGAAAAAAGGTAGAGAAACATGGAACCAACATTCCCAACCTCCTTCTGAAAATGCTAGCTTCCTGGCGATCATGGCAACCCCCTACATTCAATACTTTGGGTCAATGATTCACAGCAAGTAGGTAGAATAAGACTTCTGACTTTAGTTTTCCTGATCTGCACACTCATTCCAGGTCAGTTAATCATAAAGTACTGATTCTAGAGCTTCAGAATGATAATCAGGTAACTAACATTGCTGTATTTTTTCAGTTTAAACCAGCTAGACGCAGTCCAGATGCATCAAAACACAAAAGGTGTTTTTATACATTCCTGTCCCCCTGTCAGCATGCTGTAGAGCAGGAGTCTCCAAACTTTCTGATCAAAAGGGCCCGTTTACTATCCTACAGACTTTACAGGGGATGGACTGTGGCCTGCAGGAGTAGAAAATGTCCCTGGCAGGAGTGAACAATGCCCCACCATTGGTGTCAGTGGGAGGAATAGTAGCCCATCATTGGTGTCACAGAGAAAAATAGTACCCCATCAATTGTGTCCATGAGAGGAATAGTGCCCCATCGTTGGTGTCAGTGAGATGAATAATGCCCCATTGTTGGTGTCAGCGAGAGAAATAGTACCCTGTCACTGGTGTCCTTGAGAGGGGGGAACAATACCCCATCATTGCTGTCAAGAGAGAGAAATAGTACCCCCCATCAATGGTATCCTGGAGAGGAATAGTGCTGGTATCAGTAAGATGAATAATGCCCCATCGTTGGTGTCAGCGGGAGGAATAGTACCCCATTATTGGTGTCAATAAGAGCAATATTGTCCAATCATTGATGTCAGTGGGAGGAATAGTTTCCCATCAGTGGTGTCAGTGGCAGGAATAATGCCCCATCGTTGGTGTCAGGTGGAGGAATAATACCCCATTATTGGTGTCAATAAGAGCAATATTGTCCAATCACTGATGTCAGCGGGAGGAATAGTTTCCTATCATTGGTGTCAGTGGCAGGAATAATGCCCCATCGTTGGTGTCAGCGGGAGGAATAGTGCCCCATTATTGGTGTCAATAAGAACAATATTGTCCAATCATTGATGTCAGTGGGAGGAATAGTTTCCCATCAGTGGTGTCAGTGGCAGGAATAATGCCCCATCGTTGGTGTCAGAGGGAGGAATAGTACCCCATTATTGGTGTCAATAAGAGCAATATTGTCAAATCATTGATGCAAGTGGGAGGAATAGTTTCCCATCAGTGGTGTCAGTGGCAGGAATAATGCCCCATCGTTGGTGTCAGCGGGAGGAATAGTACCCCATTAAGGCTCCATGCACATTAGCATTTTTTTAAGCTAAAAAAAAAGCTGCAAAAAACACTGGATAAATAAGACTGGTAATAGTGTTTAGGAGCATATGCGTTTTATTAGCAATTTTACAGTACATGTAAAAAAAAAAGCTAGAAAAAAAACTGTTAGAAGTGTTTTAGTAGCGTTTAGGAGTGTTTAACATTTTTTTTTTCTGCTAGAAAAACACTCCAAAAACTCTACAAAAGCAATTTTTTTGCTGCTGCTAGATGCCGATGCTCATAAAAGGGTAATATCCTAAAGTAGTCGGCATGAACACATAGGGTGACACTATTTAGCTTCTAGGAGCAGAAAAATGCTAATAACAGCTTCTAGGAGCTTAAAAAACGCTAGTGTGCATGGAGCCTTATGGTGTCATTAAGAAGAACAGAGTCCCGCCATTGGTGTCAGTGGAAGGAATAATGCCGCGCCATTGGTGTCAGTGACAATGACAAGAATTACCCATTGTTTATGTCAAGGGGAGAAATAATGCCCCAAGGGCCGGATAAAGACAAGTAAAGGGCTGCATCCGGATCTTGGGCCACAGTTTGGAGACCATTGCTGTAGAGAAAGCCCCTTGCTTTCTGCGTGGAAGCAGAGATCTCTCTGCAGAGATCCACCAAGTTCCCTGCTGAGTCAAAACTGTTGACTGGAGCACTCTAGCTCTGACTTAGCAGTGGGCATACTGGACCTCTCGAGAGACCACGGCTTCCACATAGAGAGCATGGGTCCCTCTCTGCAGCATGCTGGCAGTAGACAGGGTTTCGACTCAAGCTGTGGCTGCTTTCTATATAGAACCAGCTGTATGGCTTTGCTCACTTTTTTTGATGCTGGAATGTATTTAGCTGATTTAAAGTGAAAGGTCCATCGGGCTTTAACTTCAGAGCAGACAGTATAGGCTCTTGTTACATTTTTATTTGTAGGACTGTAATCGACACAGATACTTTGTTTGGTGGACTGGCAAAGAGCACATTGTTCATTTTCTAGTTAGGATGTTTACTTCTTGGCGTATTAGGCTGGGATTGAGTGCAAGCTACTGTGCGAACCTTCCAGAGAACTTACTTCGGTTGCAGCGAAATAATTGGTGTTGATGTCTTCCAGAACCTTGGTGTTTTTGGCTGAAGTCGCTCTTAAACTGCTGTAATTAATTCCTCCCTCAGACTTCTCCTCCTTGACCTGGATCTGCAGCTTGTCTACACATTGTGGAGAGGAAGACGAATATAAAAGTTATATTGCAGATGTTTGAGGAATGTGCATGGCCATGCAGACGGCCTGGCGGTGGAATGAGGGAGCCACAAATCCCTGTATCAGTGCAAACAAGGAATGACTTCATTTGTTTCCATCTGGAGGATTTCTACTTTCCACCACTCAAAGGATTAAAGTGTTGGGCGAATTTAAAGGGAACCTGTCAAGAGCAGTTACAGCCAAGTCTCCCATCCAGAGCTAGAGATTTCCATTGGCTTAATCTTAGAACCCGTGTTACGTGTGATTTAACTGTGTGTGTAGAAACAGCACCGCTTCCAGGAGTTGGACAACGGCAACCATCCTCAAAGATGCCCTTGAAGGCCCAGTCTGTGCATTTTTTTCAGGTATATTAAAGCTGATCTTCAAGAAAAAATAAAATACACAAATTAAGGGCCAACTGGCTTTTTTTCAGGGGGAACGCAGTTCCAGGACCTCAAGCACTGAATGTATGTAATGACAAGGGGTTCTGGGGTGTGATGGAGGGTCTGCTGATGCTGGCTGCTGGGAGATCTATTTTTACATGGGGGTTTATTGTTGCTAAAGGGGATCTTTTTTTGCATGGGGGTCTATTGTTGCTGGGGGTTCTATAGTTTCTGCTGGGGGTTGTATTGTTGCTAGGAGTGTCTTATGTTTCTAGGGGGTCATTTGTTATGGAGAGAGCTCTACTGTTGAGGGAGGGGTCTATTGTTGCTGGATGCTGGAGGGTTTATTGAAGTTGGCTGCTGGGAAATCTGTTGTTGCTGTCGGGGGTTATTGTTGTTGGGCTAGATCTATTGCTGTTGGGGTGGATCTACCTTTGCTGGGAGGGATCTCCTGTTAAGGGAGGGGTCTATATTTGCTGGCTTCTGGAGGGTTTATTGATGTTGGCTGCTGGTAAATCAGTTGTTGAAGGCAGGGGCAGGGGCGGACTGACCATTTGGAAACTCAGGCACTGCCCGAGGGCCCGGGGTCATTAGGGGGCCCCATGAGATGCCCCTGGTACCCTTTTCATAGGCTTTTTTGAGTTTGGGCAAGGACACAGGGACCCCATGATCCCCTATTGCAGGGGGGGGCCCCATGAGTTGTCAGTCCGCCCCTGGGCAGGGGTTATTGTTGTTGGGGTGGATCTATTGTTGCTGCTGGGGGTTTAATCAATCGACCGATATTCTCATTGTGTGCACAGGGATTTACACCCATTGGTGTGAGCTGTTTCCAAGCCATGAGGTTGCTGAAGACATCACTATCCTTCCAGCACCTGGCAAGTCAAAGGCTCTGCTTTGTTGTGAGGATCTAGGATGGGCTTCTCATCCCACACAGCCTCTGTGTTGGCAGCAGAGGGCTATTAGGCCCACCCTTATATACTTGGGAGTGAATTTCATTTTTAGCCTATTTAAGAGTTTATGATTTTAATGCTGCCAACCAGGCAGGGTAAAAGCGGCAGTGCATCATTGAGTAGCTACCTCATCCCTTTAAAAACCGACCACATATTAATTACACGGGTTCTAAAGCTAATTTGATGCATTTAAGGCACTAGGTGAGTTTAATTTCCACCTTAATCAGCCCCAGAACCTGTGTAAATAATATGTGTTTCGGTATTAAAGGGATGAGGTGGCAACTCTATCATTGAGATCATGCCTGTGCTCTATGGAAGTATGAAAAGTATAAGTGTGTTGTTCCCACTGTTAGGCTCCAACAAATGAAGAATACTGATAACAGAGTTGTTGTGCTGCCTGTAGTAGCATTTTATTAGCATTTAGGAGAGTTAGTGTTTCATTAGCATTTTTATAGTACATGAAAAAACACTAGAAAGAACAGGAGCATTTAAGTAGTATTTAGAAGCGTTTAGGAGCATTCAGTGTTTTTTTTCTGGCAGGAAAACGCTCCCAAAAACTCAACAAAAACAATTTTTTTTCTGCTCCTAAATTCTGAAGCTTGAAAAATGCTTCTAGCATATAATAGTGTGCATGGCAGGGGCGGACTGACAACTCATGGGGCCCCCAGGCAATAGGGGATCATGGGGCCCCTGTGTCCTTGCCCACACTCAAAAAAAGCCTACTGACCCCGGGCCCTCGGGCAGTGCCCGATTTCTCGAATGGTCAGTCCGCCCCTGGTGCATGGACACATAGGATAACACTATCAGCTTCTAAAAGCAGAAAAAAAATGCTCATGATGGCTTCTAGGAGCTAAAGGCCCCTTTCACACGGGGCTGACCCGTCAGTGGATCCACTTGCTCAGTGGATGATCTCCGCTGAGCAAGCAGATAACAGGTCCATGACACAGACAGAGCCCACTGTCCTCTATGGGCGGTCAGATGGAAATGGACCACCTTTCTGTTTCTATCCGACTGCCATCCCATCCGTTCCAAAGGACAGAAGGGGAATGGATCATCATCTCTTTTTGGAGGATAGGATCGGATTGGATGTTGGCGGGTGTAAACGGACACATGTCCATTTACACCCACTGCTCCATAGAGGAGAATAGAGCTTCCGATCAGAAAAATGGGCAGGTGGACCCAGGGGCGGACTGACAACTCATGGGGGCCCCTGGGCAATAGGGGATCATGGGGCCCCTGTGTCCTTGCCCAAACTCAAAAAAGCCTATGAAAAAGGTACCAGGGGCATCTCCTGGGGCCCCCTACTGACCCCGGGCCCTGGGGCAGTGCCCGAGTTTCCAAATGGTCAGTCCGCCCCTGGGTGGACCCGATCGGAACGTCCGTGTGAAATCCACCTATAATAAACTAGTGTGCATGGAGCCTAGACTGGCAGCACCATGCAATGCATCTGAGCCAGGGGCGGACTGACAACTCATGGGGCCCTGGGCAATAGGGGATCATGGGGCCCCTGTGTCCTTGCCCAAACTCAAAAAAGCCTATGAAAAAAAAGTACCAGGGGCATCTCATGGGGCCCCCTACTGACCCCGGGCACTTGGGCAGTGCCCGAGTTTCCAAATGGTCAGTCCGCCCCTGATCTGAGCCTGATCTGCAAGAGTTGCTGGCCCTCCCTTTCTTGTTGTCAAAATTCTGCTTTGCAGGAGATTACAGAAAACTAAAGCCGGCCATACACGGGTCGAATTCCAAAAGAATTTTCTTTCAAAAGTCTTTTCTAAGAATTTTCGTTCGAATTTTGCACCATTATTGGGTCACAGAAACGGCTGATTTTTTCATGTGACCATCGAATTTGAGTGAGTTTGCGGGCATGTTGGAAATTTTTTGAAAAATGAACGAATTTCGAATCAATGATTGGAAAATTGTTAAAAAAATATAAAGCTGTGACAAGGAAAGAAAAGAAAATTTTTGGCCCTGAAAATTCTTTTCTGTAGCAACATGAGGGGGAATCGAAGGCTTGGCTGGTTGAATTTCGAAATCAATGGTGGCACCATCGCCTTACAAAACGCACAAAATTTTCGATTTTCTAAAATCGAAAAGTCCGGAATTCTACCCATGTATGGCCTGCTTGAGGCTCCATGCACACTAGTGTTTTCTTGAGCTCCTAGAAGCTGTTATCAGCATTTCTTTTCTGCTCCTAGAAGCTAATTATTGCCCATGCACACTATTTTAGGCTAGTAATGTTTTTGAAGCTTCAGCGTTTTTGTAACGTTTTTGGGAACGTTTTTCCGGCAGAAGAAAATGCTAAAACGCTACTAACAACTTTTTTCTGGCTTTTTTTCCTACATGTGCTATAAAAACGCTAATAAAACACAAACACAGGAGCTTGTAGCCGGGTCTTTCCTTCATGTAATAAGGCCAGCAGGAATATATTAGGGTACCGTAACCCACACACCCGCCGGTAATAAACACTCTTTCAGCGCCACGATTACACAGACCTCCACAGATAGTCTGAGCCGTTTTAGGGGGAGTTGGGTGGGCAGGTGAGATTCTTGTGGTCTATCCCGATTGGTGTTAGTGGAGATAACCTGATTCTGGGTGCTCCTCCTTCCAACTCCATAGACATGAACAGAAAAGCTCACCCATAACACACACTGCTCAAGAAATGGAACACTGTGTACGTCTGGCTGCCATTTGAGGTCTTTTTATTTGTATGGTTAAAGCACGGCTCTCAGAACTATGGCCCATGGGCCAAGTCCCACCTGATGCAACATTTTATCTGACCCTCTAAAGGGACTCTGATGGGAACCCTGATGTAAGGGGGATTCTGATGTAAGGGGGAACCCTGATGTAAGGGGGATTCTGATGTAAGGGGGAACCCTGATGTAAGGGGGATTCTGATGTAAGGGGGACTCTCTTATAAGAGGGATTCTGATGTAAGGGGGAACCCTGATGTAAGGGGGATTCTGATGTAAGGGGGATTCTATTATAAGGGGGATTCTGATGTAAGGGGTGACTCTGTTATAACTGGGATTCTGATGTAGGGGAACTCTAGTGTAAGGGTGATTCTGATGTAAGGGGGGACTCTGTTATAAGGGGGATTCTGATGTAAGGGGGATTCTGTTATAAGGGGGATTCTGATGTATGGGGGGACTCTGTTATAAGGGGGATTCTGATGTACGGGGGGACTCTGTTATAAGGGGGATTCTGATGTAAGGGGGGACTCTGTTATAAGGGGGATTCTGATGTACGGGGGGATTCTATTATAACTGGGATTCTCATGTAGGGGGAACTCTAGTGTAAGGGTGATTCTGATATAAGGGGGGACTCTGTTATAAGGGGGATTCTGATGTAAGGGGGACTCTGTTATAAGGGGGATTCTGATGTACGGGGGGACTCTGTTATAAGGGGGATTCTGATGTACGGGGGCCTCTGTTATAAGGGGGATTCTGATGTACAGGGGGACTCTGTTATAAGGGGGGTTCTGATGTACGGGGGGATTCTATTATAAGGGGGATTCTGATGTAAGGGGTGACTCTGTTATAACTGGGATTCTGATGTAAGGGGGAACTCTGGTGTAAGGGGGATTCTGATGTACGGGGGGACTCTGTTATAAGGGGGATTCTGATGTAAGGGGGACTCTGTTATAAGGGGGATTCTGATGTATGGGGGGACTCTGTTATAAGGGGGATTCTGATGTACGGGGGGACTCTGTTATAAGGGGGATTCTGATGTAAGGGGAACTCTGGTGTAAGCAGGATTCTGATGTAAGGGGTAACTCTGTTATAACTGGGATTCTGATGTAAGGGGGAACTCTGGTGTAAGCAGGATTCTTATGTAAAGGGGGACTCTGTTATAAGGGGGATTCTGATAAATACCCTCAAATTAAAGCGGACAGTCTGCAGTTAAAGCACATTTTGTTTGTTTCATTTCGAATCCATTGTGGTGTATGGAGCCAAAAATGTTAGAATTGTGTTGATGTCCCAATATTTATGGACCTGATTGTAACACATTTATAGGTAACGTTGATCCAGGGAATATCCGATTGCCTCTCGGGGGATCAGGAAGGAATTTTTTCCCCTGAAGGAGCAAATTGGATCATGTTTTGCTGGGTTTTTTCTGCCTTCCTCTGGATCAGCTGTGGGTATAGGATTATGACTTTTTTTATGGTTTGTCTTTTTTCAGCCAGACTAACTATATAACTATGTAATTACTTGCCTTTAATCAGCTGTAGAACTCGAGTCTGTAATAGGAAGAATGAGTGCCAACCCTGCATGATGTACAGCTATAACAACTGCAAAGGGCAGGTCATGCTGAGACCAGTAGTTCTCCAATGAACAGTTGCCCTTTTCCCATTTCTGGGTTTTATGAATGGCTTGTTCTTCGAGTATCAAAGATTCAGGGATGTTTACTGTATAACTGAACCACTTTGAATGATTTCCTATTTAACAGAGAATTGCCCCAGTGCTGTGGTTTAGGGACATTACAGGTCACCTATTTGTCTGTATGACGTTGTGGACACATTATCCAGCTTTATAGTGTTTCCTGTGAAGACAGCCAGCATTAGGTCATTAAAGCGGGCTGATTACAGGCATGGGCAGAAGCTGTGAGTTCCTGTATCCTGATATCTTGAGGACAGAAGACTAAATGGCAGCATGACGGAAATAGATTCAGGAAGGGATGATGTGTGCCAGAGGAAGCCTTGGCAGCGGCTCTAGAATAATGGAGCTTGGCTGTGAAACACTGCCTGTACTGAGCCATGTCTCTCCATAAATGTCATCTCTGTAGAGACGCCATGAATGGCTTCCATTTATAATGGTATAATTATTCGCCCCTCTCAATCCCTAAAACAAACCTGTGGATTTGTCCAATACATTTATTGGGCCTCAGGAATGTAGAGTAGGCACCTCCATTGAACCAGAGCTTGCATGGTTATGTTCTGTCTCCACATTCTTGCAGCCCCACTACCCTACTTGCAGGACTCTCCAAACTACAGCCCACATTCGGCCCACTAGAAGATTTCACCAGGACCCAGCTAAGGTCAGTGGCATTTCCTCAATGTGCACAGAATGAGAATGAAGGTCAGCGGAGCCTGCCTATAATCTGTGCATCAACCATCTCCATCCTGCACTGAGACCCTATAGGGGGGACTCTGATAGAGACCCTGAAGTAATGGGAGGACTTTAATTGGGACTATGACGGAGACTCAGATGTAAAAAGGGACTCTGATGGAGAACTTGATGTAAGGCTGGCCATACATTATACAATTTTCTGTTAAATTTCTTTTCGATTTACCTTCAACTATGTAGTGTAGGGCCTGCCTAATTGGATACAATTGAAAGTGTTGTTTAGGTTTGACCTCATATTATATGGTTTTTGGTAAATCTAAAGCAAAATTCTCAAGAAAATTGTATAATATATGGCCAGCCTAAGAGTGACTCTGATGGGGACCTTGATGTAAAGGGGGACTCTGATGGGGACCCTGATGTAAAAGGGAATCTACTGAGGACCCTGATGTAAGAGAGAATCTATTGTGCATCCTGATGTAAGGGTGGACTCTGATTGGGACATGGATGTAAGGGGGTACTCTGATGGGGACCCTGATGTAAGGGGGTACTCTGATGGGGACCCTGATGTAAAAGGGAATCTACTGAGGACCTGATGTAAGAGAGAATCTATTGTGCATCCTGATGTAAGGGTGAACTCTGATGGGGACATGGAAGTAAAGGGGTACTCTGATGGGGACCCTGATGTAAGGGGGTACTCTGATGGGGATCCTGATGTAAAAGGGAATCTATTGAGCACCCTGATGTAAGGGTGGACTCTGATGGGGACATGGATATAAGGGAGGCTTTGATAGGGACTCGATGTAAGAGGGGGATCTTGATGGGGACCCTGATGTAAGGGGGACTCTGATAGGGATCTGGATGTAAGACGGTACTCTGATGGGGACCCTGATGTAAAAAGGAATCTAATGGGGACCCTGGTGTAAGGGGTCATGGATGTAAGGGGGGCTGTGATGGGGATATAAGGGAGGATCCTGCTGTAATAGGTACTCTAATGGGGATTCTGATGTATGGAAGACTCTGATGGGGACATGGATGTAAGGAGAAGCTTTGATGAGGACTCGAATGTAAGGGGGAGCTTTGATGGGGACTCGAATGTAAGGGGGGACTTTGATGGAGACTCTGTTGTAAGGTGGACTCTGATAGGGACCTTGAGTCGGAGGGTACTCTGAAAGGGACCCTGATGTAAAAAGGAATCTAATAGGGACCCTGATATAAGGAGGGACTCTAATGGGGACCCTAGTGTAAGGGGGGGGGAGCAGCTCTGGTGGGGACCCTGATGTAAGGGGGGACTTTGATGAGGATTCTGATGTAAAGGGAACTCTGATGGGGACCCTGATTTAAAAGGGAATCTGACGTGAATTTGTCCCACAAATTATTGTAAAACATACAATGTGGCCCTCATACTGAACAGTTTGGAGACCCCTGCCCTCTTGGTTAGTGAGGTAGCCAATCACATTTAGCAGCCAACAGTGATATGCAGAAGTTGAAGGAGATTGTGCAGGTGAGGGTCTCAGAAAGTATCAAAGCCATTGGATCAGCATGGAAATCACACAACTGGCATTTCTACCATTTTTGACATCTGAAATGACCATTATAAGAAGGCAGCCGTGCACTTGTCATATGTTACCTATTGTCCTCAGGTGGTGATGCTCCTCTCTCCAGCTGACCTTTATAGGGCTGAACTCTCCTCCTGTTTCGATCTTGGGAATTGATGTCTAGGAAGATATAGATATAGAAATTACTAGCTTTTTGTGTACATTGAATAAACCTCAATAATTGTGTGTGGAGGAAAGGCCTGTCCCTGAGCCTATGTGACGGGGGACTCAATACACGGGTTCTGGCATCCTGTATGTGCAGATGGTATGGTTCAGGGTCTGTCAAGATGCACAGGAAACATGAATATAACAGCACTGACATTCCTCCCGTCCAGAGGAAAGCCGGCCTCCTCGCATTCATATCTTCCCCTAGTGATCTGTTTTATCCCTGCTTACCTTACTGAACATTCCATCAGAACACCAGAGACATAATGTTTCTGTATTTATAGAGGATTTGCAGTTATAATTGAAGCAGTCACAGTGCTTAGACTGTTTTAAACAGTAATTTCCGATATTTATACGCACACTGTTTATCCTTATCCTAAGTCCTTTCTAACAGGGAAATGTTGGATGACAGAAGTCTGCTTCCATCTGGCTCCTCTCTACAGACTCTACATAGCTGAGAACGCTTTAAAGTACAGTATATGGAAACCCTCACCTTGGAAAACAACCCATTCAATGTAAAATAGAAATGAAAGGCAAAACATTTATGTATACATATAAAACAGATTATAAATACCTTTTTTCCCCTTTTTGATAAGTGATCACATACCCCCTGTTCTCAGCTTCATAAGGAGCTTGGAGAGCTGGGGTAGGAGAAACAGCAGTACACTGAAATTCCCTGTGAATAGCTGTGCAGAGGGGAGGGAGAAAGTCACAAGTCTGATACTTGGAAGAGAGCAGACGGAGTTCCCAGCACAGCCAGAAAACTGAGCACGCCGTGCTCTTATGTCTAGCATGATCAGTATATGTAAAACCCTCACCTTGTAAAACAACCCATTCAGTTTAAAATAGAAATGTATATATTTCAGGTACTTATATAGTGCTGTCAATTTACACAGCACTTTACATATATATATTGTACATTCACATCAGTCCCTAACTCTCAAGGGGGGTACAATCTAAGGTCCCTAACTCACATTCATACATACACATACTAGGGCCAATTTTAGACAGGATCCAATTCACCTACCAGCATATCTTTGGAGTGTGGGAGGAAACCGGAGTACCCAGAGGAAACCTACGCAGGCACAGGGAGAACATGCAAACTCCAGGCAGGTGGTGCTGTGGTTTGGATTCGAACCAACAACCCTAGTACTGCTAAGCCGAAGTGCTAACCATTTAGCCACTGTGTACAGGTAATCTTATAATAAAATCTTGAGTTACTGTAACATTTTACCAGCAATTTTTATTATTTTTGTCATTATTATTATTACCTATTGTACTATTATCGTATTATTATTTTTTTCATCTTTTAGTTTATTGTATTTGCACATGTGTAAATGCTTTCTCACACTGCTCATCTGTATATCAGCAAGTGACATTAGCATCTATGCTAAGTGACTGCTGAGTTATGCCAACTTTGATTAGCGATTTTTTGCCTGATCTAGCTGTGGTCTTCAACAGGGTGGGATTTCCCCAGCCAAGCATTGTGTGCAGTGTGTAAATATTTATGTACATTATGTGCTTGTGATACTTGGCTATTACATAAGCAGGCTCTCATTCCTGTTCATTAGTGTTTGTCTTACTCTGCTCCTCTAAGTCCATAGGTCAGGTCTGACATGAATGAAAACAGGAAAGTCTATCTATCATGCTGCGCTGACCCTGAAGAGGGTGATTGTTCCCACGATCATAATCTAACACTCTGCCCAACTCTTTAACCTAAGCCTACAAGTTTATGTGAATAGAGAGGGCAGGATAGCAGAGAGGAAGAAGATGGGGCCTGCTCAGAGGAAGAAGATGGGGCCTGCTCAGAGGAAGAACTTGGGGCCTGCTCAGAGGAAGAACTTGGGGCCTGCTCAGAGGAAGAACATGGGGCCAGCTCAGAAGAAGAAGATGGGGCCTGCTCAGAAGAAGAAGATTGGGCCTACTCAGAGGAAGAAGATGGGGCTTGTTCAGTGGAAGAAGATGGGGCCTGCTCAGAGGAAGAAGATGGGGCCTGCTCAGGAAGATGGGGCCTGCTCATAGGAAGAAGGGGCCTGGGGCCAGCTCAGAGGAAGAACATGGGGCCTGCTCATGGGCCAGGGAGGCATTTTCATAATCAGAACTGGCTTCCTAACCTGTCCAATTGCTAACTTACTCCAACAGAGGCCAACCATTTTCAAAAGTACCCGCAAATAAGAGAACATATCTGTAGCAATTGTGCACACAGAGATGGACGCGGTCATCCATCTTGCTAAAGACCCTCCATCTTGTATCTCTCTCTCCCTCCTCCAATCCCCCCTCCCTCTCTGTTGAGTGACATGTGGTCTGTATGATGCCGAGAGATCACAGGCAACAGGCCCAGCTAGAGAGATTCATGGTTATAAACCCCAATTAGCCTGGCCCCAGTATGTCTGTGAGACTCTTGCTTGGAAGGGAATCGTAAAGCCATAAACCAGTCCTTTACTGGGCTTCAAAGACATTCCAGCTAGCAGTAAAACAGACTCACATTTAAAAACCCACTTTTTCATATAATTTTATATCTTAAGGTAGAAAATAATTACATAAACATAAAGCATATATTCGGATAGCTCAGTTTAATACAAGTCGCCTGATATCTTACACCCCCTAGTTAAAGTCTACAGGAGAGCAGAAAGCATATAGTTCTAGCTGAAATAGTGAACTATGCCATGTTTGATATGTAGACGTTCAGCAGATGATTCTGCATATTAATCTAACCGTGGATAGAATGTTACATGTACCTAGGGAAGGTTATTGCCCATGATTTTGGTTCTAGTCTGAGTCCCCCGTCCTATTACACCCCTCCCCAAATGAGGCGATTGGTTCTCACACACACTGCTGAGTTCCTAGAAAAAGGCTGTTATGCTTGGAGCAATAAGTTGAAGAAGTCTCCCCTTTTAACATCAGGAACCAACTTGGGAGATGGTATCCTTTGCTCTGAAACTTGATCTGCTTAAACCAAGGCTGATGGCAAGTATCTACCTCTCTAAACTTCTTTCTGTTCTCTCTTTGCTGTGTTATTGCTCTCTGTATTTATATATATATATTTGGCTATATCTTTCTCTGTAAATATTGTTATTGCACCCTTTTGACCTTTTTAGTAATAAATCCTATTATCGGAAAAGTGTTGAACTGTTTCTAAAGCTCTTTAATGCAAACTAAGAATCCCTGTCTCTGAAGAGCGCTACTGTGTGTTTTTAAAACCTCTATATATCTCTGCCTGCGGTGACAGTGGTATACAGACGATTATTCAAACATCATAGTGTTATTGCTAATATTGGCGAGTTTCCTCCTTTTCTCTACAAAAAGGCGGTGATGGCAGTGTAAAGGGTTAATTGCGTAATTAACCTGACCCAGTAAGAATCGCTCTCAGGCTGCAGGTACATAGATTGTGGTCCATTAGCTGGAAAATCTTTGTGCGGGGTGCTGCTGAGCGTGGCATTGTTACGACGTGACAGTGTGGTTTTAGATTGGCCACGAGTTAGTTAGAAGGGCTGGGGGTCTGACGCCGTGATCGTCACAGTATCATCTGGTCAAAACCAACCAAATAAAACCAAACACAACAACTGTTGTCTAATGTCTTCGAGAACTTTCAGGCTAACTGAGCTTATTCTAAAGTGAACTTTAGCTGATTTGTGTCGAAAAATACAACAAATTTGAAGTGCAGGGAACATATATGTGTTAGCCTCCAAAGTAATCTCTGTGGAACATCCTTGAGAAAGATTGGCGGTATCCAATCGAAACATGTTGGTCTAGTCAGGAGGTGACGTCACCAGTACAGGGGCATTGCTGTAGAGCATGGTTTCTCAACCAGGGTTCCTCCAGAGGTTATCAGGGGTTCCTTGAGCACTGAGCAGTTTCTGCATCTCAGATAAGTTCCCACGGACACCATTGATCTTTTTACTTATCTGTAAGGGGGTAATTCTTCCCAATGACTACAAGTGTAAGGAGCAATCCTCCCACTGACCATCACACTAATGTATCAGGAGTTGTAGATATAGTAATGTTTAGCAGGGGTTCCCTGAGACTGGAAAGTTATTTTAAGGGTTCCTCTGTTTTGACAAGGTTGAGAAAGGCTGTTGCACTGTCATCTGTACTGTCATCTTTTTTTTTTTTGCTATCAGAGAAACATAAACTTGGTGTCAGAGGCCAGGACCCAGCCTGTTTGTGTTAATTGATTAGCGTTTCACTTCCTTGCTCTGATCCTATTAAACCTGTCATTAGTCACACACATTTGCATTGGATTAGCAACATTGAAGCAACCCAGCTACAGTTTAGAAGCAACAAGTAGCTGGCATTATAGAGCAAGTGTCTTGTCTCAGTGCCTGGTCAGTGAGATTTCAGGTGCAATTTGCGAATTGAAATTCGCACCTGAAATCACATCTAACAATGAATGTGAATGTCAGTGTCTTAACGTGCGATTTGCTGCAGTGTGATTTCTAAAGCAGTTCTTGCATTACTTATTCTGCAGTTTTGATGCAATTTCACATAGATAGAATATAATGGAAATTGCACTGCAAATTGCAAGAAATCGTTGAAAATTTTCACAAGTAGCAATAAAGTCTTCAGAAATTGCCTCTGAAATTGCACTGAAATTGCACACAAATCGCGCGCAGCAGTGTGACCGGTGACTAACTTTTACAAATATTATTTATTCCGCTTATGTTTATCCTTGCACCAAAGATTTGTGTGTAAGCACTGCAGGAATTGTTTATACTCTCCGCGAAGACCCCTGGATCCTTGGTTAAGGATGCATTCAAGACTTTGACTTCTATCCTAGTCTATTTTAATCCCATGGTCTCCTGGTGCAAGGGACACAAGGGGTTCACAGGGACACAGTGGCAATTTGCAAGTGATAATTTTTTAGTTGGCCTTTCAGTGGAGCTGTGCATGCACTGCATGGGTAAATTGCTCACTAAGGTTTAGGAAAACAAAAAAAAAAAAAAAGATTTACTTAC